AAGAATGGGTTTGAATGAAAGCTCCTGTATACACGAGTCGAGAGTAGATATTTATATATCCATACAGTCAGCCAGTTGCACGATGATAGGAAACCCGACTTTGTAATGCGAATATAATGTTATAAACTAAACAATCTCCCGAATCCCTATCCAAGCTCCAACACCGGCCAAAATGCAAATCCTCGATCTTCGATTTATAATACACAAAAAGATCATTTTGTCTTCCCTCTATCCTAACGAGAGTACAATCTGTTGCATGGGGCTTAATTAATATCTCTCTCTTACAATTTCATTCCCAACGCTTTTCCGACTCTCAAACTCTGTCTGATACTCAGATCCAACATTATCTCCTCACTTCCTCCGGGAATAGCATAAGCTCTAACGTCTCGGTAAAGTCTCTCCACCTTTCCACCTTGTCCACCACGACTATAACTCAAACCTCCAAAGATTTGACTTGCCTCTCTGGCACAGAATTCAAAGGTAACAGTAGCTTGAGCCTTGAGACCTGCGATTGGCCCACCAAGTCTCAACATAGCTTCTGTCTCTCCCATCTTTGAGCATTGGTAAATGAGAGATTCGAGCCAAGAATATGAGGCTTCGATTTGACGCGCCATGTGAGCGAGCTTGAGACGAATAACAGGGTGGTCAATGAGTTTCTTGCCAAATGTGCGACGTTTATGTGCGTACTTCACACATTCCTCATAACAGACACGGGAAAAACGGAGACATTGGATGATGATACCGATTCTCTCATGATTGAAGTTTGTCATGATGACTATGATATTGTTAGCGGAGTTTCAAACACAGGATTACGACAAAACTCACCTTTGAAACCTTGGTTCTCCTTTCCGATAAGATTTTCAACTGGAACCTTCACATCCTCAAATGTGATGTATGTAGTTCCACTAGACCAAACACCTTGACAATCCATCTTTCTCGTGCTAACGCCACCAGCCGATCTCTCGATGAGAAGAACGCTGACACCATTCATGCCATCCTTTCCGGTTCTAACCGCAGTTGTGAAATAATCACACCAAATACCATTAGTGATCCATTTCTTTTCACCATTGACGATATAATGTTTTCCATCTTCCGTCAACTTAGCCTCACAAGTCAAGTTTGCGACATCAGAACCAGCATCAGGCTCCGTAATAGCCAAGCAAATTCTCTTGTCACCGTTCAAGATCCCTGGTAGAATTCTCTCGACCAAAGGTTTCTTTCCAAACTTAACCAGAGGCGGACAACCAATTCCGAATCCTCCGATAACATTCCACACAAATCCACCACTTGCCGCACGCGACAATTCATCTGTGAGAAGCATTTCATGGAACAAATCCCATTTCTCGGGTGCCACACTCTTGATTCTATTCTCTGTATATTGAGTTGGATAATGCATACCCATCAATCCAGCCAAATATCCTCGAGTTCCCATCTGTTTGTAGATTTCCTCTGGGACTTTTCGTGCCTCGTCCCATTCACCGACATTTGGTTCGATTTCGGCCGATACCCATTCGCGGATTTCTTCGCGGAGAGCAGCGTGTGTCTCATTAAAATATGGTGAGTGGTACTGTTTTCACATTAGTATCATTCGCAGATTTACGAGAGTGGAAAAAGCATACACCCTGGTACCACGATGGATCCGCAAACGGAATCAAATCACCATACGGATCCAACGGTTCCGATTCCTCTTCAACTTGCTTCGCAGCGGCCGTTGGAGCCGGCACAACCGCACCACTTTCCGCCTGTGGCTTGACTGCTTCTTTTGCTGGTGGAGGAGTCGCGGGTGGTGTTGGTGGTGCTGCGGCTTTCTTTGTGTCTAATGATCCCACCTGTAGCTTTGCCTTGTATTTCTTGAGAATACCTTCATTGTGGTATTTCCAGAATTGTTTCGAAGCATCTTTTCCAGCAACTCTTGTAAGAATCTTTTTACCACCTGGATGGTCGTCTTGGAATTTGGTGAGATCATAAACATCTTCATCTACGACAATGAAGAGATCATCGGGCTTATTGTGCGATGCAACATCACTTTGACTGAAAGTCTTTGACATTTTTCTATATGTGTTGGTTCGTATTGTATAATTTGTTAATGTAAGTCTTACAATCAATGTAGATGTATTGATTCTAGACAGTAAATAAAAACAAAAAAGTAAGGGGATAGGAACAAAGTAGGTGAGGTGTGAAGGATGAGATGTTTTTATTAATTATTCGGAGATGCGACTCGCTTTTGTTTGACAAGCAACTTTCTCTTTCACATGTCACTCTCACTTCCAACATACATCGCATGCAATTCTTGATTCAGCTACACCCGTCTTCCGTTACCACCCAATTTAATATTGCATTTAAACTCTCTTCACCCCGGATTTTCTCCATCTTCTACAAGTAAATCCTATCACCTGCCATCCGGAAACACCTCATGTGCACTCTGTCTTACGATTTCCCATTATATGATTGGTCAATACATCGCATTTGACATGTGAAATCCTACCGGTTGCACTTAGCGCTGGTACCCGGATGCCGAGGTATATTCACTAACGCCGAAAATATAACACACGTGACTGTTCTCGGTATTTCTTGAGACTCAATTCATTCGAATGGACTCAGATAAGTGCACTTGAAGAAACTCTCAGATAAAGTACCAAGTTTCACCGGATTCTTCACATGTCATGCATGCCGCTCGATTCGACTCGGGAGGGAATCCTAATATGCTATGATATTTTGCTAATGAACGCTCAAGTCAAGTACGAGTCAAATACTAACTTTTGGCCGTGCAATGTTGCTTCAAAAAATCCTCCCAATGATATCGAGCGCATCCGTTCCACTATTTAAACTTCAGACCACCCCTTATAAACAATTCTACTTCCATAAACTTGTCCCTTCTTGAGCAATACTTGTCCTCTCCATTTTTCCTCGTTAATTGCATTAACATATCGACTTGGCTCAACACAGAATCCACTTCTAGCTCCTCTAGCCTCAAGTCCCTCAACTGCTGGTACGTCGATGTATTTTCCAGTGTAGAATTGGAATGCGGGTTCGGTACTCAAAACTTCCAGATGGATACCAGTTTCTGGATGAGAAGCTTTGACTAATGTAGTGAGAGGCGAAGAACGTGTATCGAGGGGAGTAGATTCGGATTTCGCATCCACGATGAAACAGTCATCAACATTTGGTTCCTCAGGTCCCAATGTAAATTCCTTATTAGGCGTAATGCTCTCATATGGCTTTGGTCCAGAGGTAGGAATCCCTCCATCGTCGACTGGTAAGTAGTCGTTGGTACATAATGTGACTTGTGTACCTTCGATTGTCGATTTGCCAGTAAGGTTAAAATACCTGTTATAACATTAATTATCTCTCTTCCGAGAAACTAAAAATAGTTATTTCAGATGACGACTACTCACGAATGATTGGTGACATTGACAACTGTCTCCTCAACTCCCTTTCCATCATCCACCAACTTGACCTCATATTCCATACCCAACACTCTGACTTCCTTACCATCGACCTTTTGTTTTCCAGTAGTATAAACCACACTAACATCCAACGTTCCGGGATAACCTTCCTCGCCATCTTTATCCCTCAACGTAAACTGCACACTCTCGCCTCCCTCCAATCCCTCCACGCCCGGGATTTCTCTCAAACCAACCAACTTTGGGCCTTCCCAAACACGTTTGCCCCATCCCTTTACACCACCATGTAAAGCATTCACCCCATTATTCTGCGCAAGAGTATAAGATTTTCCATTCAAAGAATTAATTTTCGCATTAGCGATACGATTCGCCACTCTTCCGATCGTTTCACCAAAAAATGGCTGATTGTGTTTTTGATATAGCTCTGCGGTTGGAAATGATTGGACAATATTCACCGATTTGTCTTTTGTGGGGACGAGGAAGCTTTGGATGATGGCTCCCAAAGGGAGGAATTCGAAATCTGCATTGAGAGGCATTTTGATATTTCCGTTTTGATACTTGAAGAATGGAGGATTGAGATGAGTGTGAAAAATTCAAGATGATGTAAATAGAGATTTCCTTTACGAGAAGAAAATTAGTGAGGTCATATGAGGAAGGAGGGGTAAATGTGTCTTCAGCCTGATTTCGAGAGGAGGTGGGGTGAATCTATATGGGGAAAGTGGGGGTGGGTTATCCATAGAAAGCTGTTTCTCCGTCTAAGTATGATTAACTGGAGGCTGGTTTTAGATGAATCTTGGGTACTTTCCCTAGATGATATTAATCCATACACTTCATGTTCAATTTAAAAGTCTCAAGAGAATATTGAAATGTTTCTCTAGAATTCAGATATCAATTTTGCGAACGTCTTCTCTTTTCAACGAAAAGGCTGTGGAAAACTATCTCATAGATCATTTAAAGCTCATGGTAATGTTTCAGCATCTTATGAGAATTACTCCGATCTTATATGATATCTGTGATGACAGTGTTACGACATTGTTGAACGAAACAAAATTCCGAAATGCAGTGGTTAGTGTCTCGCCAAATTCCTGAACATTTAGCGCTCCTGCCCCTATTTCGCTTCCGAGATTAATTCCTTTTGAAAAATCGGCATGTTCTTGCGTCCCTCATTAATTTTCTGAAGCTTCTGTATCAGAGTATTTTTCAACTGATCCCCACTAAATTCAATATCAAAACTAATTGCTGGTAGCATCCAGGAATCTATGATCGAAAGCCTAACGTTCTTACGAATAAATTCGTCCGTGTCGTAAGTACTCAGTTCTGATTCTAAATGCGTATAGATGAACCTCTCAAGCCTCATAAATGACATACTGGCAAAGCTTGCAGTTCGTACTCAGTTACCGGATAGTATAGGTACGTGAAAATAGGACTGCCCGAGCTTCTGATGCACCACTGGAAATCCAAAATGCAAATCCTATGGTTAAGTTGTGTCGGTAATAATATCCCGAAACTTTCCCTCTCATCTTTGCTTGTCGTTATAAAATGGGTAAGGTCATTTGTAGTTCATCTAATAGAAGTCTAAGCATCACTCACGGCTTTCTAATGGTAATTCGGGTTAAGCCTGCTTTTTCTACTGCCCATATAATCCTGATTCGTATTGGCCTCATAATCCTGATTCGTACCCTCCCTGTAATCATTATTCGTACCGGTCTCATATAACCAGGGGTACGAGCCTTGGTTACTCGTACCGGTCTCATCTGTCTCTGGATACGGGTGATAGTAATTCGTAACGGTCGTATATGTTGAGGGATACGAGCCTTGGTTATCTGTACCGGTCGAATATAGTGAGGATTGCGAGCGAGAGTATTGTGAGGAAACACTAGGCCAGAGGGCATTATTTGTACCGCCCACGTTCCTGTTCTTTTGCTTTCTATTCAAGGATCTGCGGGAAAGAAACCATTGTGCGATCCAGTTGGGACATTCTGCAGTTGGACGAGCAAGGTTCCAATAAGAAGACGTTTTACCAGTGCCAATTCTATCTAATAATCGCATGGCTCCGTCCCATGATTGTTCTGTGAAATTCCATACATTGTAAGGCGATTCGGTTTCGCCATTGATTAGGTGAGTTGTGTCAGAGATTAGCCATCGATAAATGACATCCGTTTCTTTCTACACATCTGTAAGTATCAAATCTGGTGCGTAACTCAAGAAAAGTTCTTACCTCCATTAGTGCATATGTTTCAGAATCTATGTGAAGATACTTCATAAGCACTTCTTTGGTCTCGGACATTGCTAATGGTTCCAGCACACTTTCAAGTGGAGCCCCATGTCTCTTCATGTGACGATCACGGTTATCTTGGCTTACAAAAGACCTACCACAACCAATGAAGTGGCAAGCAAATCGAGGAATGGGGGCGATATTATTGACGGAACGTCCAGTAAGAGGAGCTGTAGGCATAGCTGCCCGGTTTGTTTGCAGGTTTAGCCATCCAGATCCTCGAGTTTTATCATTCTTATTTGAAACCCTATCCGCGAGGGTACCTGTACTCTTGACAGATAATTTATGAGATTCCGCAACCCAATCATCCATCTTTGTGAGCTGATCATTTTTTCTGGATTTGTCGATCGGTTTATTAACAATTTCAGACGCAAATTTCCGTTCAGATCCGTCCTCTTTCCGGTATCTTGCACTTTCAGTTCTCGATAAACTTGTTGGAGGAGCTTGGCTAGGAGTGTAGGTTTTAGCAGCCGTGGTTGAATAATGATATGACGAACTAGAAGGGTAGGGAGAAATTTTATCGAAGCCAGAGACATAAGGGAATGGTGTTTGCATTGAGCTCATGGTTGTATAGGCTGAAGGAGGTGATTCATCACTCATACGGGCCGGCGGTTGCTGTTTCGTCTTCAATGACTGATAATTATCGCTTTCAGCAACTTCTAGCGGTGAACAAGTTGATGCAGAAACTATTCTTATGTTTGGCTTTTTCTTGATGATACCTACAAGATTGAAGGCCGGATTCTTTCCAAGGCAAACCCACATTGGTGTTGGCATAGACACCAATATTAATGTTGAAAAGCTGCTGAATCCAGCTTCGATAGTAACAGAGTTGGCAACAACAGGCATCATGCGAAGCCATTCAGCGAAGAGATCGGCAGATAATTCTGGAGTCAGATCCTCCTTCAGTCTCACACTCAGTAAGATCCTCGGAAATTGATCATCGGCAGAGTGCAGGCTTGACATAGGTGATGAACCAGAACCTTGTTCAGAATCTGTCCTTTCATTGCTCTCGGATGAATCGGGACTTTGCGAACCCAGTGATTGGAAAGGACTTCGGAGTGATATTGGCTCCAGAAATTGGAAAGGATTTTGGAGTGATATTGGCTTCCGCTTTAGCTTTGGGTTTACTGAAAGCTGTATGCTGGATGGTAAAGCTTGATTTTGAGTAAGAACAACATGCAGTGGAGCTTTCTGCAATTCTCTACCTTCAGGCATCCAGTTTTGTAGTCGACATAGTATTCTATTGTACAGGACCGCTGCAGTAAACTTCGGATATGCGCTCAACAGACGTAATTCTATTGTCAAGGCATGGGTGAATGAATGGCGTCCAACGCCATTTGCAACATCATTGAAACCACAAGCAGCGATGAGCTCTGTAGTCCCACATCCATCTCCTGTGTTAGCAGTGCCCGAAGAGCAACAGTCAAGTAATAGTAGAACGTCGGATTGTGCTTCTTCCAAGGAATTTTGAATCCCGCCCCATTTTACCATGCCGAAACTAGGGTCTCGGGGATTAGAACGACTAGGTACAAGAAATGTTAGTTTGAGAAGGCAATAGTAGGAAATTTCTCAAGCAGTGTATCGTAGGAAATATTTACTAATCACTTACCTCGCCCAACAAGGCTGCCGATTTTGAGCTAGCATGCCATGACCGCCATAATAAACAATCTTCAAGTCTTCCTTGCTATCTTCACCTAGTTCCACAAAGTCCAAAATCTTTTGATTCAACTTTTTGTGGCTTCCGCCGCTAGGGATACGATATATCTGGACATCGTAATTGTAGATGGAAGCTAAAACAACGCCTAATTCGTGTACTTCTAGCGAAACAGGTAATTGCGGGTCTTCGTCCTCCCATAATATGAGAAGGGCATAGACTCGGGCATATTTGACTACAGCACTTCCAGTCAACAATATTTTTCCGACAATTTTAGCATTGAGGCAATTAATGGTTCACATGGATTTAGATGTTGAGTGATGTGTATTACTTACTCTTTTGATCATTGGGGTAGGCCGCATTAGCAGCTCTTTGTACCTTTTCACCAAAGTCGCGTAAGGTGATATGATATTGTAGTTGACTCAAATCATGAGGCTCAATTGGAGGGCCAGAAAAGACGTCGTTCATTTCAGTGTCTGTCATTGTTCCGTACAACTTCGATCATTAAAGTTTCAAAGCACGATTTTGATGTTGAATGTTTTATTTTGGGCTAAGAAAAAATCAATCTGCAGTCAGCCTCATCTCACTAGCTTACCCGAATCAGTAGGTGGCATCAGCCTAGGAACTGGTTAATCTTGTGACCACGCCACCTTTTTGAAAATCACGGATTTCGAAGCAGACTCGAAGGGGAATTGCTAGTGGTCAATATAATACGCCCTTAACTCTGAAACACACTGATTTAACCCTAACAATCAATAGGAGGGTCAAGTTAATAAAGGTATTGTGAGATTATTAACGGAGTCTAGGTTGGAAAGCTTTAAGGTGATTTTTTGAGCTAACTGGGCAAAATTGGAATAATATTTACCTATGGGTTCCAGAGATGAATGTATGACAAGCATTGAGCTGACACCGAATCATACCCTTTACTATTTCATCGACCTATGATATTTTCTCTCCGAATTCCACACCTATCTTGCGCAGAGGTGCACTCAAGCAGATATTCAATGATACCACCATAAATTGAGCCTCGCATTCCTACCTGCAAAACGTACTTTCATCGTCATAATCAGTCTCATATAATTATTTGCAACCTGTCCTCTTGTGGAGCAATCGCAAAGCCATAACAGGAGCAGTCGGCCTAGAATGGCTGGGACCGTAATTAGTACTTATCATCAAAGCCCACGGGCTTGTATTGAACGGATCAAATATAAAAATCCCCTAGCTTTCGCAATAGGAGACAATAAACCAACCATTGTTAGATTTGCAGTGATGAAGAGATATGTCTTGGTGAAGCAGCAATCGTGTATTAAGAATCATGTGAAATTTCGAATTCAAAGAAACCTTCTCCGCGAGCAATATGGATAAAGCAAAAGTGAAAAGAAGAATGAATGTAACGTCTCTCTATTCGTGCATTGCGATGCTGCTAACAAACACTGTACATGCTCTTCAAAAACAACTTCGGCATGTGATTTAGAAGTTTAACTCTGGTCCAGCAAAGTCTAATAACAGAAGATTAGAACGTAGAATGCGGATATCGATGCATGTATATGCAGTAGATCTGTGAATGCAGGCAATGGAGGCTCGATGCTTGTACCGGTAGCCCTATGGTAGAGGAACCCTTCGCTGATGCGAAGAATTACTCCAATGAAGGCATTTGAATTTTTATTCAAAGCTGGAAGTTCAGCCAGGTAGCATTTTAGCAAACGTACGTCATTTCTGCAGGAAAATACCCAACGCCAACGGAAGTACGCCCAAACCACTTAGTTCAACACGACGGAAGCAATATCCCACCAACGGACTCCCGTTGTGGCTCAATCAGTTGTTCAAAAATCTCACTGAGTGTCGATATTCCGACGTTTATCCGACCGGATAAGGAACCATCACCAACGAAATCAAACTTGTTTCTGAATCTTTCTTCTCTTCCGTCCTCTTCCTACACTGTACGCGTATCAACGGCGTCAACATCATCAACATCGAAGTACCCTTCAAAATCTCTGTCCAAGGATCCAACACTGCACATCTGGAAATTTCGGTGGAGTCGTCGAAAGCTTCTACCCCATGCTCTTAATGTCGTGGATCCAGCTGCAGCCCTGCAGCAACGGCCAAACACTACCATTAAGGAAGAGTTCTCGAAATCCCACAATCGAGCCATACTACCTTGAACCCTTTTACTCTCCACTCATGAGTCAACACACCATGCTGTATACTGTACGGTATCATGCTTTTTTGTCGTGTCCATATACAATTTGGCCCCGTTGTCCCTCTACCATCCAACCAATTTTTGATACAGTGGGGTACTAGAGGAAATGGCTACGACGCTAATCCAAATACGGTAGGATGTAAACAATTAAATTCATCTTGATTTGATTTCGCATATCAGGTTCAAATCCGAATTCACTTGACCCATTCTCTCTAACATTATTTCAGCCCATGTTGCCTTTAAGTTCTTGCTTTTTATTTTGTTCTTGATTCTATGAAGCATCGAGCATTTTCTTAATTCCATACGCAATACACTGTACAGTATTCACCTTGCTTTCCAGTGAAACAACAAATACTTCAATTGTTGATCAAGGTAAACACCCATACATCGAGGGTATGGCGGAGAACGATGTAACCATGACCGTGGAGGTTGATCAGCCTATTGCTTTACGGAGACAAAGAAGAAGTTGTATTGGTCCAGAGACACTATCACGATCAACTTCCCGGGCTTCTACGCCGTCTATGATCGAGGTGTCAATACCTTTACCCGCAACACCCAGATCAAGAAAACCTAAGAAGAAGGTAAGGTATTCCGACCCAGGTTCAAACCTTCTTCACGAATCTTCTTCTGGCTTGACACCATTCCTTCGAAAATCTTCTCTCTCATCTGCCAGATCAAACCGTCGACATTCAGCACCTGTAAAACGACTGCTCGATCGTCGGCAGGACAACGAGCCATTCTCCGGAGAATTACAGTTTGCCCCACTACGACAAGTGTTGGATGGCAGAGTTACAAGGCGGATGAAAAGAAATCGACTGAGTGAGGAGACCAACAAGATTGACTGGGAGAAGAAACATGAGGCTAAAGCAAGAAAATCGGAAATATTTCGACTCAAGAAGGAATTGGAGGAAAAGGATTATGAATTACAGTGTATCCAGGATGAACATGACGTTGCAAGCCAATTAGGATTCGAAACAGGCACATCTATTCGTGCAAACCCTGTCATCGTGGAGAGGTTTCAGGAAATGGAAAAAGAGATTCAGGAGCTAAAAGCAGAGTTATCACAAAAGGAAGAACGTTCGAACGCTCAACATGACTGGCAAACTGGAACGCAGGATCCGTTTGATTTCGATGACGATGACGATCAAAGTATCAGTATGAGTGTGGTCGGAGATCATGATGCCTTTAATAGACATGATGATGATACTGGCATGGTGATCGACTCTTCATATGACGACCATAAGATGGTAACTTTTGACGGTCCTTTTTCCAATTCCGATGACCTGACGAACACGCACAATACTTCACTTCCTTCGCCACCTGCCACAATAGCTGATACATATTCACAAAAGCCTTCCCATGCATCAATGTCGACACAAGCTGACTTCCCGGATCCTCTCAATGAAAAGCTCGAAGCTCAACTTCTTCACTTGCAATCTCAGATCAAGAGTCTTACTTCCACTTTGGCACTGAATAAGGATCATGAATATCGTCTTTCCCAAAAGTTAATGTCATACATCCCATCTGATCAATCTCACGATAGCTCGTCCCTCGACTCGGCACTTGATTCGATTCTTACAACTCTTACTATTGCTCAAGCTCAGGCTCTTGAGAAGGAAGCATCGTTCAATGCTCTCTCAAACGAAGTAACCTCGTTAGGATTCTCCACTGACCCAGAAGCCACCATCAAGATTATTGTAGAACAATTTCGCAATGCAAGACTCGAGTACGAATATCTTAATCCTGGAGAAGAAACCGAAGGGTTCGAAAACGACAAACTTTTGAGTATGTTACTGGGACGTCTTAAGACTTTGGTCGAGAAAGCAAGAAAACAAGATGAAACCATCGATCAGTATCATGCACAAGAAGTCATTCTTAGACGACAACTGGCCGCTCGTATTGATGCATTACAAGATGTTCAAAAGGAATTATCCGCTGTTACAACCGCTGTTTCAAGGATGAGTAAAGAACTCGCCGAAAACGAAATTTCAAACTCACGTCTCCAAAGTGCACTGAATGGATACCGAAGTGAGGTCTCTGGGTTGGAGAATCTCGTCGAGAAAATCGAAAAGGAGCACAAAGTCGTCGAGGATGATTTGAAACGTGGAATTCATAACCTAGACGATCAGCTCCAACACGAAATTTTCAGGGCAAACGCATTTGCTATGGAGCTTGAAGGAAAGAACATGATTGTGGGCGAACTTTCGGCAAGATTAACGGCTGCTTTGAATACTTCTGCCACTCTCCGGGATCTCCTCAATGAGAAAGATGGACAAATACTTCTCTCAGATCGGCGAATCAGCGAGGATTTAACAGAACGCGATGAGAGAATAGCACAGCTTCAGGAAGAACTGGAAAGAACAACATATATCCTGAAGAACACTCAAAAGGCGGTTGAGAACTTGCGACAAGACAACTCAGATTTGAAGACCGAAAACGAAGATCTTGAGAACTGCGCAAAACAATTGAAGGGGCTAGTCAGCAAGGAAAAGAGAAGAGGAAAGAAAGCTGTCAATGGATTGTTGAAAAAAATCGCAAGTGTTGCGGATTCCGCAAAGGGTTACATGGAAAGTGATAATGAGTCCAGTGAGACGGAAGCTGGAGAATTTACAAGGAATCTGCAAATCAAAGCCCCGATTGTCAGGAAAGGTCAGTTTCTGGATGCGACAATGGCAAGAAGAAGATCAGGTGGTAGAGTGGGAGCTAATGGGAAGAAGAAGAGGAGAAGATTTGATAGTGGATTAGGATTTTTGGAGGAGGAAGAAGATGAAGCTGAGGATGAAGGAGAGGAGAGAGAGGATACGTGCAGTAAGAGGGAGGAAGTGGATTCACTTGCTTGATTTATGACGCTTTCACTAATAACTGTCTGGATTTCTGGAGTTGGATGTCAAATACCTTATGCCATATTGTACTATACAGCTCTATACCATTTGGGGACTAGGGATGGGGTGGATTGGATAGGATAGGCATTAATGGTGGGAATGGGAAACTGGATAGATAGGCAGTCGGGTGAATAGAAGTCTGCCTGTCTGCCAAACATATCTGTCGATATTGTTCTATTTGTTTTATTTTGTTATTCTGCGGTATGTCTAGAATGGGAAAAATGGCTGGAGTGGTATGATATGATATGATATGGTACCTCTTTTTATGGATGCAAGTGGAGATTTGGTGGCGAACATGATATGAGGGTACTTTTTTAGTTAGTTGTAATGTACAGATAATTTGGTAAATATTCTATTTATGTTCATCTTGACTTCATGATTTCATGTGCTCTATCTATACATGTACACTCATAGTTCTACTCCAGTAGTAGAGCGAGGTCATGAATTTGATTCGAGCTCTAGCAATGATAGTTGTGTTTGAAATGTATTTAATGTGATAAAGCTGATTGCGATGTTATCATAGGAGCCTCTTTAGGTTCTATGCATGGGCGGGTTTCGTCAATAATGATTCTGTCGGAGACCAAGCGTGAGCTGCATTCATGCATGTGAAGTGTTGAAGTGAGCATTTGGAAGATGTTAGTCTGATGTAGGTAACTTATTGGAGGACGGTTTATTGTGGTAGGAGAGTAGATTCAGGTTGCGTTTGAGGTTCGAAATTCCACGGAGCTGTTCAGTTGAGTGCAAAGGGTAAGCAAGAATTTGAGATGGTGATGACTTGGAACATTTTATGCCGATTGCCTATTAGAGGAAGGTAAGAAGGAAGTTGGCTTACGGGTTGATGTGAGGTTTGGGGATGGGGAGAGGTGAAGGGAAGACTAGGAAGGGTGAGTATTTAGGGGAAGGAGAGAGGCATAGTGCGCGGATGCGGAAGTAGTTCAAGAGATGGTGGTAGCTGGGTGACAGGTAAAGGGGGATGTTGAAAACGAGGGAATATTTCCGTGAGACATCTTTGGCTTTTTTATACTAGATTCAACTATTCAAGTATAAAAAAAAACCATGTTTCTAGAGACCAAAAGCCTTGCACACTATCTAAATTAAAAAGAACAATGGAAATGAGTTATCATAATCTTCAAACCCCCTCACAGAAACCCCCTACCCGAAAATTCTCCCTTTTCCCCCTGCTCCCCTCCAAACCCCCTACATCCCACCCCTCAAATCAACTATTCCAACCTAACCATTACACACCCCACCAATCCAATAACAACTCTCAAATCCCTATCCCTCTGTCTCCCTTTTCTCTTTCCCAAAAACTTCAAATTCCCAAATCTGAAGAATGTCAAAAAATCAACTTTTTCATACTCACTACTTCTTCGAGACTTATTTCAAAACTTAATGGAAGGAATTCAACAGTTCTGTCATTTGGGAATGGGAAATCAACTTTTGAGATGTGCAACAAGGAGAGGAAAGAATGGGAATCAGGTGTTTTGAGGAGCTGTAGTTGGTTCGGCTATGGTTCGGGGTGGAGGATTGTTGTTCCGAGGAGGGGGTGGGGAGGGGAGAGTTTGGGAAAGGTTGTTTGTGGAGATTTGAAGGATATAGACTGCAGAACATGTCAATAGTGGGATACTAGTTTGAGGATTTACGGTCATGTAGCGTTGTAATTCTTTGTGTCAAGTAGAAAAGCTGGTTTCCTTGGAAGGAAAGAGAAAACGTTGACAATAAGGATTAGTGTGATATATATAGACAAGAGAAAGAAGTTCTTGAATTCTGGTTTCTTCTCTTCAACTATCTTTGCTCTCCTTCAGTCATTTCTTCTCTTCCTCTTCATTTTTACCTTGCCATATTCTTCCTGTGATGAGTTCCTTTATGACTGCTTTCTCGCTTAGTTCCTTGAAGGATGGACTGTGCCTTGATGCTTGGAGGATGTAGAGAGCATTGAAAATACCGCAACTTGGGCTTTTCTTCTGTGCAGAATAGTAAGCAACCAGCTGTACTTGTTGTTAGAAACATTTATCCATTTATTGGTGTCAGTATGCTGTGAAGAAAGTTCTTTCCTTTCCAAAATCTTGGGACTGTAGTTAGATGTCTTAAGTGCTAGCAGTCTTTTGTTCACAGGTTATCTCTCCTCTTGTCTTATGTCTACCCTATATCTTGTGCTTTGTTTCTTTCTAGAAGTATATACATATTTCAATCTTTCAATGATAATTGTAATATAACTTAGGACTCAAGTCTTTCCAGTTAGTGTTTGTGGTCAAGCGTCTATGCATGTCTCCCTCCCCTCAACCACACTTTTCACCTACACTTACATCTATAATATCCTAAGGTCTTGAAAGATATGTTGATACAGTTTGGATTGTCTTAGATTACATCTTCCAATCCACCTCTCATACCCCAAAATAACAACAAAACATGTCAACTCTCATAATGCAATCTTCCCCTTTCTTCCTTCTCCTTCTCCTTCTCCTTCTCCTTCTCCTTCTCCTTCTCCTTCATCAACCTCCAACACCACAAAATCAACTTTTATTACGGGAAGAAGTTATTTCAATGATATAAAACCTGTTCACTGACATCAGCAAAGTCAATCCTTTCAAACAAATCCAACCTTGAAGCAAAATTCCAAGATTTCAAAAATCTCTCAAAAAATCAACTTTGAGAAATCTCTTGAAATCAACCTCGAAGTTTATAAAATTAACTTGGAAATCTAAAATCAACTATTTCAGATATGCAACAAAAACCTCTCGAACTGCAATAGAATCATGTGCTTTGAGGTTTTGGGAAATGTGGTTGGATGATCGGAGAAGGAGGATGGTTATTCCGAATCCGAGGTTGAGCCATGATGGTTCGTGCACGAAGTTAATCTGTTTGGGTGGCTGTGTGGATTGTGCTCAATAATGCTTACAACTTTACTAACAGCAGGTGAAGATGGAGCTAGCTCTTAGGACTTTTCTAAAGAAGAAAACCCTTAGAGTACCTGATATTGCGTAGTACGTACTGACTCATGTCTTGCCTGCTGTCATGTCAGACTTCTTTCTATTTTGCAAAGGAGATGGAGACCATAAGAAGAGCTTTCCTCCATGAAGGAGGTTGACAGAAGATGATAGATTCCTTGGATTTACGCCTTCTTATTCCCTCTACAAGGTACTGAAATGGGTGATGTACCGGAAGAGTCAAATCACTGAAACACGTATGGATAAGTATTCCAAGTTCAATATGTGTAGTGTTACTTTCAACTTTAACAACCTCAACCTCAACCTCTCTTCTGTATCGATGCCAAGCAGCAAAGTCCACTTCTCCCCTACAATTTTACACCTTGTATTTAGGATTGGCCCTGGAAGAAAAGACAACAGAATGTTAAGGTCACTCGACCCGGTAGTCTCCTCTTGCAACTTGTTCGGTTTCAAACATAGTTTCATCGAGACATCACATATCTGTCGACTCAAACTTTCTTACTTCTTCTCCCATGGTAACTCCATTCCTGGCGTATAAAGTACCCCGTCACTCGGTTTTGGTTTCCACATCCACCACGTAGTCTCTCCTTTACATTCATGCGCCATCTTACGCCAAATAAATCCTGGTTTCCCGTTCTTGTAAGTGGTATCTACGATCACCTTATGAATGGTTCGGAAACCATATTTCTCATACATAGATATCCCCCCCGCGGAGGCCTCTACGAGTGCTTCTACATCCATTTCTGAGATTTTGGACATTCCGTATTCCATGAGTGAAGATCCGTAACCACGGCCACGGTGGTCAGGGAGTGTAAACATCTTGGAGAGCTCTGGAAATATTAGCAAGAAGAATATGGCAGGTATGAAGAGTTTTGAAGAAAAATGAAAGGGATCCTGGGGAATTTACTGACGAGCATGAGGTCTTGTCATCCTTGTCGCTCTCATCCCAAATACTTGTGAAAGAACCGTCTTTACAAATTCACGTGCTTCGCCTTCGGGCCACCAAGATAAAAGGCTATTGTCTTCCTTTTTCTTTTCCTCCCCATTACTGATTTCATCATCTTTATTGCCATGATTGCCTTCGTTTTCGCCATTCTCACCATCTTTTTCTCCCCCAAATGGACTCACTTCATGAAATAGCCAATTCGCTGCCGCCAAAACCTTTCCAGCGTCCTCTCCTTGATCGTCTTCGTCAACAATATACACCCAAAAATCATCCTTATCCGCTTGATGAGATTCCCAGAATCGTTCCTTGAGCCCCTGGACTGCAGTCGCTACTCCTTCGGCAGTAGGCTCTTTGATTGGAACCAAGATACCCAGAAACGGGTTATAGGGATCAGCATACGATTCCCACATGCAATCTATTACAAGGCAAAATTCTTCGAAAGTTGCGACTGTGCGAAGAGTGGGGGCCATGGTTGGTTCAAGCGAGGTATGGTCTTAAAATAAGAGATTTTGGCTGGGACAGAAGGGTTGTAGGAGGCGAATCTCAGATTAAAAAGCTTAGAGCCGCTGGTTATGGTTTCTGAAATGAGGTATCTCCGCAGTATATTAAGACTGAATAAAGACATTTCGTTGATCTTGCTCGTACATTTCGAGGCGCAGCTGATGAAGATCCAAGGATACATAAGCACTTGTGCGTATGAGCTCTCTCAAGCTTACTATCCAATATCTTCAGCTACCATGCGGAAGTATGTTGGTGTTGTTGGTGACTGTTGGAATCTCATGCATGACAAGGGTTGGCTCGGTAAATGGCCAATAGACGGGTTTGTGGTGACCATGGTAGCTTGACCACCCACACCAACCACCTGTTATCTCATTTAGTTGATTGAATATTGATATCAAGAGATAAGATGTGTGTGCAGCGTTTCTATTCCTCTACATATGACAGGGAAGATTGAACTGTAATCTATCAAATCGTCTTTTTTTATCATCGGCTATTCGGATCTATGGCTCGAGTTGACCCCAGTGAGAACTATCCTGAGTAGCAGAGACAATAACAAGTACGGTACCCTCGACATTTTAGCTATGAAAAGAACATCGAGGATAATTTGAATGCTGTCGATAGGATCACAGGCAGATCTTGAGCGATACACTTCAACATTTTGGGGGTAATGATCATTTATCGTGACAATTTGGCGTCTCCCTCCAAGTTCTGTGTCATCAATTCTTGAGTTGCTTCTATCTAATCAAAGTTCTCGAATATGATTTGAATATTCCATCCAGAACTAGATTGAGGCTGTTCCACCGCGGCAATCACCTCACACAGTAGACTGTGAAAGAATCCCGAGCTATTGTACCGATCATTGAGACACCTGTGCCATCTGAAACTGAAATTCTGCTTCATTAAGTTCTTCATAAATCATACGCTTCTTCATGACATCAACTATCATCGACACAAACGGTGAAATTTGACACATCTGAAGAAGCCACAAATTCGGCGAAATTTCATGTTCTCGCAGCACTTTTCATATAGTGGTGTGCGCTACGATACAAGGCGATGGCAATTGAGGGTAGTAGTAAGTCATTGCATGTCACATAATGGGGGAAAAATCTAACTCCGGAAGCCAAAATACATAGGTGGGAGCTGAGACTAGGGGTTGTGCTGGGTGTAAAATTTGATGATTTATGATGAACGATGGCCTGGAAATGCTTCATGTATCATGATCAACTATTTCGATATTGTACTGAGACTTCAATGTTGAGTATTACTGACATTATATGCATAGCTAGGAATAAGAGCCATAAGTTTGTGAGATACGGCGAGGGTAATGGTTTTGGATTCTTATAGCGAAGGTCAGACTCGACCACATTGATCAGATGAGATAACTTGAATGATTAGGAAGGTTAGGTAAATCATTAGATTGTACGTGTGTGTTGATTTCTCTGGTATCTTTGTGGATTTATTTCATAGTGCTACTTATTGTTATCGCTAATTTTCTGACCTTCAAAAGAGATAGCTGGAGGGGAACGCTTAGAAGGCAGAAAATTGGTGCGACGACTTGACTTCGATATGAAAGGTTAAATATGGAAGAATTGTGGAAATATTACCATACTTGAGATTCGTCCGGTGTTACATTGTCGTCGGGTTTGTTCTTATGAGTTACGGGTGAGATATATGTCACTTTTAGTGATCAAAGGAGAAACAATATTTCTCTGAATTAAAGTTATCAAATTTTCACGATTAGTCGTTGCTATCAAGTGAAGAACATTGATATTCATTTAAAGTCACTGTCCAACGTGGAAAACCATCGCATTGTCTGAAACCATCGATTTCCCTTTCCCGTCCCCCAATTGCTCGAATTCATTGAACAATGTATCCTTCTCCGAAAGTCATCCGTCGCAAATTTGACTATTGAACCCCAAGGCAACCTATTTCCTATTCAATACACGACCTAAGATATCATTCATCTCAAAAACACCTCTCTCCTTGCGTTCCGCAACGGCTGCTTCCGCAGCAACCAAATTTTTAGGTGACGTCGAGAGGAAAAACTTCTTCGCCGTTTCCATATCATCCATATTGATATCTCTATTCGTCGACTTCCCATTACAATCCGCCCACGAATCCCCAATAAGCACAAATGGTCCGATCCAACCTCGTGCCCATCCTGTGAGCTTCTGAATACACATATTCTCCCCGCATTGATCGAGGACATCTCCATCCTCCAATCCCATGATGGTGCCCGGTGTCCAGCCTGCAGGATCTTCTTTTCCTGGAGTGATCATCCAGCTCACAATATCGTCTTGTACATTGGCTGTGGTGTTTGCGCCTTGGGCCAAAATGGGGCCAGGGAGCGGAATATCATAGCCATGACAATCGTGACAGCTCTCGCACACAATACAGGTGTCGCAAAAGGGAACGCAGGGGTTCTGATTGATAAGAGGACAGGGACACCAGAATACTTGAGGCTTCTCGGTATTGGGTGGAAAGTAAAGTGCGAGTTTGTATTGAGGTGTAGGACGAGCAACATGCTTGGAAACATTGGATATGCAGAAACTCCAATGCTGTCCTCTGCAGAATTCCGAACAGTAGTATTCGTGGTCAGTGCATTCGCAGACAAATCCTCTGCATGTAATTGATGCGCTACAAGCCCTGCATGGAACTGGACCGTTGTTCGTGGTATGCTTTGTAAAGTTTGGTCGCGTGAATATTACCATGTTCGGATGATCCAGAACTGACCAGCCATATGGTTTCGACATTTTGATAGATAGGGATTCGAATTTCGATTTGGATAGAAGTTATTGGGTAAGAGTTCTCTATCGTATCGTATCGTATCGTATCAGAACAGCACTCTGCAATTTCGATTGAAAGTGAACGATGATTTGGTTGTTGTTAATTGGATGAAAAGAGTTAAGAGTTGGAAGCTGAAGTTTCTGCAAGAATAATAAGTGGTGGAGTGGTGGGATACTTTGAAGTATTTAACCAGTCTGGAATCAGTCCGGATGTCGACCGTATCTATATTGTATGGCTTTCTTGAGCGCGCTAGTTCAAGCACCACGGATGATATTAAGTGAATCTATCACCGCATATAAACTCGGACCGTAGTAGAGACGTTGAATTAAAGACCGTATGTTTGCCTTGCCAAATGTTGAGTTCAGTACTTGGATAAGTAGCATATATCAGAAATTTTCAGTAAGATGCATACTGATAAAGGTCAAGATAAAAGAAATTCTGGGTTATTGCCTAGGATGAATCTTTTAATCGGGTGATATGTTCACGTTTTTCACTCAGGATTTCATTCGATAGGTTGATACCGATGCTATATTGAGGTGAAGTTGAGACACCGTATCTCGCTCCGAAGATTGTTCACTGCAAAACGTCTTCGTTCCATATCGCTAAAGTTGAGAGGGAACATACAAAACTCGCCGTAAAGTCAGCGTATTACTTGACAGTAGTCTACTTACGGGATCACCCTGTCATGTACAGTATGAGGTGCATTATTTGAAGTTGAATCAAGTACATGATACTATTGTGATACAGTGATAATACGGAGGAACTATATAGAATTAGAGGGCTCTACTAGCCTGAACACTGGTACAAGTGGCCTAGATACTGCGGTGCTTAGCACGTCTTTCCCAAATGCTTCCAACAAGATTATACGTACAGAAATTAGTGGAATGTGAAATATAGTACTAGATATTGGTATGGGCTTCACTTAATCCAATCCAATCTCTTCACTTTTCAGTTCAAAACCACGAGCCGCATATTGGTGAAAATGTTTAAAGCATTTTCATATCGCAATCTTATGTGCGTCGGTAGAAAATGGTAGCGTAAGAGTCTCATGGAGCCATGTCTCTGTCTTATTCCATCTAGCAGCGATTTTCCCTAAGGGATTTCTTGGAAAAATTGCCTTCCTTTGTTGTATTATGCTTCTATCATAATCTTACCAACCCAATTCCTGCTTAGCCTCGAATCTTTCCAAATGTAGACATTCCTCAAATAGACATATCAACAATCTTTCACCATCTCGTCATAGGTCTTGTATGATAGCCATGTACCATAATAGTGGTTTATTACTAGCAAAAAGCAGCGAGAGTGGTCGTACGACGTCGAGATGGGCCGGCTATCCTTGACTCTTCTAGTTAGGCATTACGGTTGAAGGATACCCCACCTCCCTTTTCCTTCTCCCATCGCTCTTAATTAAGTATTCAACCAAGCTAAAAGATGTTTAGTGTTTAGCTTCACTGATTTGACTGCGAATTTTATAGTTTTCACCTATCTACTTCAAGAAGGAACCGTATATGCCGCGTCATCTTGTAGCACTACCTATACAGCAGCAAGAGTTAGCGTTCTGTGGAGAGGAAGTGAAGGTTCGTTTCATACCAAGGGGTTTATCTTGATCTCTTGATTCGATGAACCCCGGGTTCTCCCATTGATTCGCTCAATCACTAGTCTCATGATATTGTGCACGTGGTTATTGCAAATACATCTAGTCCTACAGTCACGAGCAACGCCTGAGAAGCCCCAAACGCTGCACACCTCTCTACCCACTGAAATGTTGTTGCTCGACGGAAAATCGATAGCAGGCGAAGTAGGGGTGACGGGGCAGTGACTTAGCAGTTCCGCAGCTTCGAGCTTGAAAGTACCAATGGGTTGTATCCTTAGACATTCCCGAAAGATATCGTGTACCGTAGTCTCTCGCTATAGCAGCTTCCTAATAACGAAAAATCTAATTGTGGCTGCGGTAAGGACTTTTGTAAGAGATAAATTGCGAAAAATGATACTCCGGTCAACTGAAACCTCAATCTCGGCAACCCCCCCAAGAAAATGCTTGTAAACGATTCCGTCTCGATAGATACCGCTAATAGCAATACCTGCCGACTAGATATGGATAAAATTTCTGGGACTTGTGTATTTGCATGATGAAGGAGAGCACATTTCAGCGAGAGAAGAATGTGATATTGTTAAAACGCTTGATCGCTTCGAAAACAGTATACCATAAGAATGTATCGTCTAGGCCTTGACAGCCAAATTGCCGACTTGAAGACAGATCCTTGATCTAAGAAACTGGCCGATAGAACACTGAACTTGCAGCATTGCTCTTTGTGATGATATATTTCGGCAAATTGGACTAGGAGTTGACAGAAGCTAGTCTAGGCCCTCGGTTCTGTTGGATTTTCAATTCGATCGTTCCAGCCATCGCCGAAGCAAATGGAGGTGAACTTGGAGAAGGTATTCAATGCTCAAAAATTCGAGCCTATCGAAGATTAAGATATAATTGACTTCAAATTTGATGGACCGCCTTCAATTGATAGATCATGGTAAAAGATCGGCAATATCCCATGATGCTTCTTTTCAGGAATCGCAATGCAATGAGTCTGTCAAAGACCTGTTCCATTCGAACACTGTTCAGGCGAGATCTATCTTAAGAAGCACTGCATTCGTAGTGGAGTTCACACAGGAAGCTGTTCGCAATCCAGCCCTTCTATTTCGCAAGATTATAAGGACTGGTTCAAGAAAGTCAGTATTTGGCATAGGCTTGAGAAGACAGTAAGCTATTGCAACCGTATTCGGGTGGAAGATAGACAAATCAGGGACTTTTAAGTACGGGTGCAAAAGACTATGCATTCTGAAAGGTGTTTCCATGAGGCAGAGCCAGGTATCATGGAACAAAGGTGGTTTGACAGGAGGAAGGGCGGGCAATGGTACAAATTCTGGGTAGTGACCTGAGTTCCTCCTTTAGCTATGATAATCAGAATAACACAACCGTTGGAAGGCAGTTTACAGGTTTACTACGCATTACAATCATAGGTGAAGCTGATCACACTCTGATGACATTGATCCTACCTCAGCCATTTCTTTTGCGGTGCGAGTCTGTATGACATGAAATTTTTAATCTTCGGAGGCTGATATTAGGATAGTTTGAGTAGTAAAGCAACTCGAAGATCAAAACCTGAATATTCACTCTTCAAATGAATTTGAAATGAATTGGCTATTGTATTGATAAATATCTCACAAATCATGCGATCTCGGCGATCTACCAAATTCATGATGTCGCTTACATAATCCCCCACCTCTCCGACGCCCTCTTCTTGACAACTTCAGTTGTCGTTCTCAGAACAACAGTTGCACATCTCGTCACTCTCCACATACGAATTCCTCAATATAGAATCTTGATTTCGAATACTTTTTGATATTACTTTTTGAATAATTCTGAGAATTGCACAGTGGTGATCTTGCGGGGTGGTATTTTTGTTTTTTGGGTTCGTTGTCTTGAGATGGACGAATTGAGAAGCTGTAGTTGTTCTAACGATGCCATCAGTGTTTACCCCTGAACCCCTTTAATCCTCGCATTACCGACTAGCTTTCAAAATGCCTGCCATGCTCGATGACCCCAGCGCTCCCACAATCTACCGAGCTTCAGGGTCCGCACCTTTTCCAGATCCTCACGACACTAACCCCGCACTACCCCTCGATGTCTTCCCTCGACAGGTTACTCTACGTGACCGAGTGACAGTCGCTACAATCGTACCTTTCGCGTCACAAAACAGGGTTCCTCCCTCGCTTCTCGCATATCTCAGTGACCAATTCAAAAAGGAAGTCGAATTGGGCGACACATATCCTATGCTTGATACTATGCCACCTGAGAAGTTTGCATCTTATTGGTTTCAAAACTTCGGTGCAGTAATGCTTCTTGGTAATATCGAGTCCGCAGATGAAGTAGTCGAAGGCAAGAACTGGGCAACAGAATGCCTAGGTAGTTATTATATCAAGCCCAACTATCCAGGACGTAGCTCTCACATCTGCAACGCCGGATTTCTCGTCACAGACGCTGCACGAGGCAGAGGTGTCGGGCGTCTACTTGGCGAAAGCTACCTCCACTGGGCTCCACTTCTCGGCTACACATACTCGGTTTTCAATCTCGTATATGAGACAAACGTAGCTTCTTGTCGCATTTGGGATGCACTAGGGTTCAAGCGTATTGGGCGTGTCAAGGGTGCGGGAAACCTCAAGAGCTATCCAGGGCAATTCATCGATGCTATTATATATGGGCGGGATTTAGGGCCTGATGGCTCCGACTTCGTGAGTGAAGAACGCTTCGATAAAATCAAATTCTACTTGAAACATAAAGAATATCCATTGGGTGCTGATCGCGCGGAAAAAAGCAGACTTCGTAGCGCGGCCACACATTACAAACTACTACCGGACGAGGATAAGCTCATGTTGAAAGGGAAGGAAGTCATCAGTGACCCGCAAAAACAATACGAGATTGCGAGGGGTATACATGTACTACAACATGGTGGAATCAACAAAACCACAGCTATTATCGCCGAGAAATATCACTGGATTAGAATCAAAGAGACGGTTAGTCTAGTAATTAAGAACTGTGGAGAATGCAAAGAATTGGGCAAGGCACCATTTGTTAAACCAGATTATCAAGCTCAGCTAGCCCGTCAATCTACTCCTAAAAGTCAAGATGTAACAGATGCAAACATACTATCTTTACCCGAGCAACAACAACTCAACCATCATCGGGATCTTCATCATCATCACCAGCAGCACCATGATCAGCAACCACAACCCTCCCATTTGCAGCATGATTTCCAGCAAATGCAACACCACCATGACCACACCAGTACATCCGTATCACCACAAGTCCTTAACCGCAGACTACCATCTCACTCTCCCCATCCTCACAGTAGTCCCATTATTCACCTCAAACAACATCAACCGCCTATTTCCCAAATGCAACTTCATCACGCAGAAACTCGTACACAATCTCAAGCTCGGGCTCAAGCCCACTCCCAATCACATGCCCCATCGCATAGACATTCTGCAACAGATTACCTACAAATAGATCCTCAAATCATGGATTACACACATACATCTCATTCTCCGCATCCGCATTTTGACGCGCATCATGAACATGATACGGATTCTTTTCAGGCGATGTTGGAAAACAGGGATGTAGATGTAGACGGGGGTGTTGGGGATGAGGGCACTGGCGTGGATGGAGATATTGATGACATGCTTGTGGATCAAGATGAAGTAGAAGTAGTGCACATCGGAGATATAGGAACAGTGGATAATAATACTGGAGATGATATAAATGCTGATGAGACGATGAATGATCCAATGGGAAATGGAAGACATAAATCTCATGATGATGTTATGGCTACGGCGAGATTGGCGCAGGAAATGATTTCCAGGGGGGTGATGGATGGGAATGGGGGGTGAGGGGCGTCTGATATAAGGTAATCACCGAGTTTGGATACCGTAGTATTTGATACGAAAATGATGGACAATCGTTGATGAGATGGAGCCGAAACCGGGTTTCGAGATACATACCGTCTGTCGCTGGCTGGCGGCAAATACAGGGAGCGAAATGCCAAGGACGATAGTGCTAGCGGCCTCTCGTTGAAGTATTGGATTGTTAGGTCGGGAATGCATCGCCGATAGCCTACGACATATTTGCAGGTCATATCTTGATGTTCAGGAAGACATCACGTGCACCCAATCCTGATATAAATCAGCGTAGAATGTGTTCATACAAGAGACACATATTCTAGTAGACTTATTAGATTATAGTAGATACAATAACGTCATAAATCACAGTAAAACTGTGATACTCAAGACACGAGAGGCCTTCGTTTGCAAAAAGGTGACACCTTGGAATAGATACAACTGGCCAATCACAGAATTTCTAGAGCAAGTTTCATTACTAAATTCACAAATTCAGACATAAGCGAGGGGGTGAACTTTTGAATTCTAAAGTGCAAGTATGTACTTGTCATACATCTAGCACTCTTATATCATATCATAGAATAATCATCTACACATCAAAATTCTGCTTGTCCTTAATTTCCCCTGCATCATTCATGAATCATGATCTCTCTCTACCATTTATCGTTTATCTTCTTGGCATGCCTCTGCCTCTACCTCTCAATGCTCTCTGGGCTGCTCCCGGAGGTAAGCCTCTTTGTGGAGCTTGTGGTTGTTGACTCTCTTCATTCTTAATGGTCTCGTCCACGCTCAAAATCAAACAACTAGCTTCAGTTGCTGCTTGAATGGCATTAACCTTGACCAACGCTGGTTCCCAGACGAAAGCCTCCATATTATCTGTAATACCTTCACCAATGAAATCAACACCAGCCCACACGTTTCCTTTTCTGTGTTCCACGCGGAGCTTGTTAAGGATATCTGTAGCATCGAAACCGGCGTTGTCGCAAAGCTGACGAGGAATGACCTCGAGGGCTTTAGCGAAGGATTTGATGATTGCCTGTTGCTTGTTACGAATATTGTTATCGGCGTAGTGATGGAGATAAGCTGATACTTCCATTTCACAAGCTCCACCTCCAGCAACAATTGTAGTATTCTTAATAGCGCGCTTGACGATCATGATAGCATCGTGGAGGGAACGCTCGACTTCGGCAATGAATTGCTCAGCACCTCCACGGAGGACCAATGTGCAGGTTTTGGCAGCTGGGCAATCTTCGAAGAAGTTGAAACGTTCTCCACCAATTTGACGCTCTTCGAACGAACCGCAGGTTCCGAGGTGCTCTGGCTGAATATCGGAACAAGTAGATTGAATGGATCCTCCTGTAGCTTGAATAATGCGTTCAAGGTCATCGGATCCTACACGGCCGGCACAGAAAATATCTCTATCCGCGAAATATTGAGTAGCAAGATCACCGATTGGTAGCTTGGAAAGGACAATTTTTGCGCCAGTCTTGTATAAAGCTTCCATCTTGTTGTAAATAATTTGCCATTCAGCATCGACAATAGCCTGGTATTCCGAGACTTGCTCGACACGAACCTCCGCATTGTCTTTCTCAGACTTGAGCTCAAGTTCAACATTTAAGCACACAATCTTAGGGTTTTTGAACGATTTTGGTTGTTGTTCGAATCCGGCGTATGAAAAGGTCTTTTTGAATGCAACACCATTAACAAAGAGGGAGTCGGTAAGGGATCCACCTGGAATCTTCTTCATGCCAATGAGTTTCTCGTTCAAATCGTCCTGATCTAATGTCATAACCGCATCAACGACCACTATATGTTGTTAGCTATGTCTCACTACAAAATCTTGAAGCCATACTCTTTGTGAAGAATCCGGTATTTCTCTTAATCAGCTTACTGCTCATAGCAGTACCGGCCAATTTAATAAGAGTTTCCCTTTGGTTACCCTCACTTGTGTTAACGGCGATCTCCTTTATCTTATTGACGGCCATCGTAGAGGCTCTTCGTAGACCCTTAATAATCGTCTGCGAGCTGACACCTTGTTCGACATGGTCCTTTATTTCCTTCAAAATTTCACCTGCCAAAACAACGACAGATGTTGTTCCATCTCCTACTTCGGCATCTTGTGATCGAGAAATATCGGTAAGAATTCGTGCTGCGGGGTGAACAACATCAAGTAACTGCGCCCAGAAGTCAGTTCATGAGTTCTAGCTATACCAAACTCACAGAGTGTTCTGCCGAGAAGCTTACCTTCATAACAGTAGCACCATCATTAGTGATAGTTTGTCGTCCATTCTCATCCACAAGTAATAAATCCCCACCATATGGTCCCAAAGTACTTCTTATTGTGTTTTGAACAGCTAAACAAGCATTAATATTGCTAATGATTTGTCCTTTTCCCTGAGAAGAATCTGTGCCTATATTATACACTTCTGTCAGTATACTATGTGGTCAAACCAATATCTGGATTACTGACCCTCTTTCAGCACAATAATGGTTGGAGTCTGGCCACCGAACGACATTTTTGCAAGAGACTCTGTTTATGATACAAATTAAGAAGACGCCTGAATCACCGAATAGTCGCAATGCTGGGTATGTAAGAGAGCGTTGCTAGGGTATGAAGAGAACTCTCAAAGCTTTGCTGCCGCTACCTAATTAATTGTAGTTCAACTTTTTTCGCGTCGCGATTTTGCTATCATGTTATTTGTCGATAACCGTAGTCTGTTACACGTGAGATAAGTTCTGCCACATTGCATTGAGCTACTGGTATTTCAGCCACCCCCACTAGACCAACATCTACCGGTGAGCTACCTTAGGAACCCTCTAGTTGATTTTATTTTACCACGGGCTCACCGGGGAACAGTTCCCAGCGAGCTTAGCTTGAGAATCGCATCTTGCGTACATTCCAATCTTGCACAATATATCACATTATCAGCGCCCCATTGTTTCCCTTGATACCTTTCTATTTCCTTCATCAGTGACTAGAGCTAAAAGCAACTTCAATATTGCCTCCACAACTGGTGATCCTTCAACCTTGCGAATTGGATGTGTGCCGGATTAAGTCAAAACATATTTGGTTGTTATGCATATTGCAAACCATCATACCCTCATCACTTCGCGACGGATTCATCTCATCTTATAAAACAATAGTGTGAATGTCTTCACCATGCTCATAATTTCCATAAGTCGCCACCGCCACTGCCACACCAGCCTTCCTCATCCTTCATCCTACTGCATCGTAAGCCTAGCCAATCAGAATCGATGTGCCGTCAATTTGTCTCTCGCGGTGCAAGAGCGGTTTAGGCCATATTCGGACCTACTATGTCACTTAAATAAAGTCCTCAGCCTTTCCCGTCGTCCTCTGTCTAACATCCTAAAGTAATATATGGCGAACCACTCCTATCCCTCTGGATTGGGTTGTCGCGGGGTAGCGCAATCCTTCTTCTGCGCCTTTCGCTTGTCGCTCTATAGGTCCCGAAAAGCGAGTGCAACTCTGTATGACAAACTTTTGATTCTTTACATTCATTCGGATATTGTTTCAAGCGCAGCTTACCAATAGCTACCGGTAGATGGCTCATTTGTAGTTTGAGCGATGGCCGAACCGTCGAATCATTAATCGGTGTCCCACGGCTGAAGAGTCAGCAAAGCTTGAAGAAGCACCTATACGGCGTTTCTATGCGCTTCAATGTTTTGAATGCCTCAATCGGCAACTGTGATGACTTCGCACTTAACAATTCGTCACTGCTGACAATACCGTTCTCGAGCTGAAACATCGGATTTGTGACCACGGAATAATTTACGTCCTTATCCACCTTACAACCGGCAGATGTTTGGGGGATGCGGAATCTAGATATAACACGGCAAAGCCCTTGCGATTTCATGTCAAGGTTACAATCCAAAGCTCCTACACCGCTAGCCCATTCAGGAACTTCCTTTTATTCGATTCAATTCGTCGATCAACAATCTAGAGGGGTTACATAAAAAGTTTCTATGTTACGCACATAAGGAATACTGCAATCCAGACCAAAGGTTTACGTACGTATGGATAGTTTCTGCGCCCATGTGGATGCAAATGATGCTCAGAATCTCGAATTAGCGGTAGGGTTGCAGCCGCTGTAGGGACGCGCGACCAAAACAGCCTTGTTTCCGTCGTGCAGTATCGCAAGGCCGAATTAAAATGTGGTCACACATCGTGTAGAGGCCAATGAAGACACCGTAATTCGGCTTTTGCGTTAGTCACTAATATAAGCGCATTCTACATTCAAGGAGCGAGGCCGAATTCTATAATTGCGATTTTTGTAATCAAGGGAAGTGGCCATTTGTCGCTAGATACGAATCCCTCGTCAGAGTCACGTTGTTACGGCACAGTTTCTGAATCTGAGAGTTGACTCAAGGGTCGACGGCTCCCCCGAGATATAAGAAATGCGATGGGTACCCGGTATGATGTCTTGGATGAAACGAGAAGGAAATCCGCCATCAGTGCGAAGCGTGCAACTTCATATAGCAAAAGGACTTAAGCCGTCTAGAAAATGGCTACAATTGCGAGAAAGAAAGCTTGGAGACCAAAATCCAAAACTGGCTGCCTTACTTGTCGGTTGGTTATTCTACGTCAAGTTATCTTTTCTGTGTGATCAGCACACGAGAGAAGATCCAAATTTGGGTCGCTAATGGAGATTTAGAATTCGCCGTGTCAAATGCGGAGAAGAGAAACCGGGGTGCTTCCGATGCACGAAGACTGGACGTAAATGCGATGGCTACGATCAAGATCGTCCAGAGATGTCGAGTCCCCCACTGCGACGAAGGGATAGTGCGATTTCTTCGTCAAATCCAAGCCCGATTTCTAGCCTCATCACGAGTCCTATCCCAAGCATAGTCGAAATGCCTTCTCCGGTCATCGAATGGGATGAAGAAGAGCAAAGAAGCTTCAATTTCTTCATCACCAAGACAGCACCAGAATTGGCGGGTAATTTTGACTCTAGATTCTGGACCAGTCTAATTTTGCAGAGGTGTCACTCGGATCCGCCCATTCGCCATGCAGTCATTGCTTTGGGAGCCTTCAACGAGTCCTTCAAGTTTGGCGATATCAAATTACTGGAAGCGGGAGCGATTGCTGATTCGAAGCAACGATTTGCTCTGCTACAAAATATTAAAGCCATACGGTACTTGACGGGTCATCTCTCGCATGGAAGCCACCGACAATCTACAGAAGTAATCCTTATATCTTGTCTTTTGTTCATTTGCTTTGAAGCAATGCAAGGAAATTACCAAGCTGCATTTGCGCATCTAAACAGTGGATTAAAGATCCTAGGCGATTGCATGGAGATAAATGGACAAAATTCCCTCGCTCATTTGGAGTCAAGCATGATTCGGGAATTCATCCGCTCAGAACTAGTACCTTTATTCGGAGCTTTGGACATCCAAGCGATCAGAATACTACCAAGTAGCTTCATTCAACGGGAAATGACGAGCGGGTCCACGAAATTTGATTTTAGAACCCATACTAACATACCAGATCCCATTTTATCGCTGAATGAAGCAAAATATCATCTGCAAAACCAGACCCACGCAATCTTGGTATACCATCAGAGTGCAGCACAGCATTATATCCCAGAGATTCCAGATAATAACGACACTCTATGCTCGAGTAGCATGAATGCTATCATAGAAGAAAAGAGAGGGCGAGTTCTGCAGCTTGAGCAGTGGTCCAAAGTCTTCAACAACTTTGTACAAGCGGCAGGTCAAACAATGAATACGAATGATCTACGAGCATCAATATCGCTCAAACTTCATCATGTCGCCAACAAACTAATTCTCGAAACAGCGCAGTTCAAGACTGAATTGGACTACGATCGATTTATGGATCAATTCGGGCTAATGACTTCACTAGCCGAATCTCTTCTCAAATCGTACGGCGATTCCAGACTGGAAAATGGACGGGTGTTTTCTTTCGACGCTGCAATAATACCACCGTTGCTATGTGTGGCATGCAAATGTCGTGATCCTTCGCTGCGCAGGAGAGCACACGCTCTTATGGTCAGCTCTTTCAAACGAGAAGGTGGTTGGGATAGTGATATGGCGAGTAGTATTGGTAGGTGGACTATAGATAAGGAAGAGAAGAATTTAGAGAATATTTCGAGAGCGGAAGAGGTAGTGGAGTCTTCTCGTATCGCAGTAACAGAAATAACGTCCATTGGAAGACGAAAGGCATTGATCAAATTTAGACAAGGTCCTCGTCGGGATGATGGAGATGAAGAGCTCCAGGAGGAATGGATTGTATGGTGATGATGTGTACTTGTAGCCATAAGGACTCTGGTAGTTCATTGCGATTGTATATTCTGATTACAATGATTTGTATGAGCGAAGACATCCTTCTTCTTACAAATTTTCAATGAATTCTTTACCCCTAATCTCCACAGAACCTGATTGCCAATGAATTAAGCTTCTTTTCCTCCTGACTCTCGATACAAGTATTCTTTTGAGCAGCGTAAGAGGAAGAGCAGGATGAGATTTCACAAGACATAAAAACAACAGTCACATTTCCGGAATACAGACTAGACTTGGAAATCCTCTTGAGAATAAATCAAAGCGATAGAAATGAAGACCCCGAAATAAACCCTCGATTGAGGGAGTGATGCTTGGTCTCGAACGGGGACAACAGTTGGAATGAGCATTTGATCTACGGATACCCATTCAGCCAACCCTGCAACTCCTCGGTTCATTCGTCATCGACCCCTTCATTCACCAAAAGCCCTCACGTCATATCAGCGATGGATATCTTGATGTGTGTGTAGGGTTTTCAACATTTCTGATTTTGTACTTATTGATATAGAACGATTGAAACCCCTAAATTCTATTTAAACCTCGGTGTCGAATTGGGATCTCTGAGCAAAAAGTGTCAACTCCAAATTAAGCTAGAACAAGAGCTAATTCCAGCTTGTTGGCTTACTGCGTGCAGGTCTCGAGAGAAGTAGGTTCTTGGCATCATCTATACATAATCTTTTCTGTCCAGAGTAAATCTTATCGTCCTCACATTACTCTTATCACCCATAAATAAGCTTCACGAAATAGCATTCAGCAAAGATGTCTGGTATAAAAGTGTTGATTCCCATGTCAGATTACGGCCATGATCCAACAGGTAATACACAACCCTCTTCAACAAAACTCCAAACATCATAAACAATCACTTCTATCTCTTTCCCAACCCACACTATCAATAACATTTATACTAAACTCCTCTCCCAGAAACCGCAATTCCATACACCACATTCACCAAAGCCGGATATACCGTGCACTTCGCCACCGAAAGCGGTACCATCCCAGCCTGCGATAGTAAAATGCTCGAGGGGATCACCCAGAAGCTTCTCGGCGCCACCCAAGAAGCCGTCAACGCCTACAAGCACATGTCCCAGACGAAGGAATTCACAAGCCCTCTATCTTGGTCTTCTGATTCCTTTTCTCTCGACTCCTATGATCTCGTGTTTTTGCCTGGCGGCCACGAGAAAGGCGTGCGTCAATTGATTGATTCGGATGTTATGCATCAGCATTTGATTTCTTACTGGAAGGGTGTTGAGAAGCCAGGAAAGAAACATGTAGGGGCAGTTTGTCACGGTGTTATGGTTTTGAGTGAAACTTTGACGGCGGAGAATAAATCTATCATTCACGATTGTGATACAACGGCTCTTCCGGGAATATTTGAGGGGGCAGCCTATTGGAGTACGAGATGGGCGTTGGGAGATTATTATAAAACTTATGGAGCGGGGAGTGAGAATGTAGAGACGAGTGTTAGGAAGAGGTTGGATGATCCGGGGAAGCAGTGGAAGCATTATGCTGGGTTGCAGCCGTGAGTGAATTTTTTCTCATTCCGTTTTGTTTTTTCTATCTTATGGATTGTAAAGACTGATGAGAAGACAGATTTGTGGTAGAGGATGAGAAGTATAATTACATTAGTGGGAGGTGGCCTGGAGATGCCCAATTATTGGCGGATAGAATTGTGGAGTTGGTTAAGAAGAATACAGATAATTGAGTTGTGATATGGTATGGGATGGACGGGATTGATATTTGTTTCCTGTTTAAAATTTGAATGAGAACATTATTTATCAAGAGCTAGCTAGTATTGATGTCAATTGAAAGCATTTGAATGATCAGCAGGTGCTACTATCGGTGCTTCCGGCGTGTGAAGAAGAGGCACGTCGAGAGCTCATCCGGGAGCTAGCTTTCAGGCCCGATTAGCGTGTGGATATGCCAAGTCTAAGCTTTTGTGTAGTCAAAGTACGTACTGCAGCCGGTCGCTTAGATCAACACCTTCATCACGTTTATATATTCGCATTTTCACTGTATCAGATCTGAAATGATTATCTCATTTCTGGATTTGTTGTACGTGTTTCACTATCGAAACTCGAAACGCTAGCATATCCTGCAAATGGACTGAACTCCGTGAACTCCAAAATTACCCCAGTAGTACTGTGGAGACATCCAGCGATTAAGTTCCTAAGTGAACCATAATAGAATGACAAAGGAGAACCTAGAAGTGCCAGCACCTCACAGAGTATCCTTATCAATAGTACCCTCAGTCTCTCCCGTAGCATCCTCCTTCGAGCCCTTTAAAGGACTATCAAACAATCCCATCAGCATCTTCCTGTATAGTCTACTGTCTAGGAACTCCCTATCAACATCCTCATACGCAGCCACCCCTCCTTTCCCCCATATATTCCTACACATCTTCGCAATACACGCATCTCCACTAACGCCTGCGCTCCATCTTTGGTTTAAAGGTAATCCGTTTCCTTCAGGCGTATATAGTAACATGTATGTGCCAATCAAAGCATGTTCTGTTGAATCTTTGATCCTACCTAGGGAAGAATATTTCTGTATACGAGCGTGCCAGGCATCTCCATCGCCCCAAAATGAACGCATATCAGGGATATGCGAGAGATGGTTATCTTTGTGTCCTTCACCACGAATATCTATTGTACGAAGTTTGAGAAGGATGGGTCGTGTGCCTGCTTGAGGTAATAAGAGGATAGTGATAGAAGTAGTTTCAAATCTTGGAGATGCAGGAGGACTTGTAGAGAAAACTTTATTGAAGATGCCAAGGCGATTTGTACTGTTTCCTCGATGATGCAGTGGCGGCTGAGGTGGAGGCTGGGGTGGAGTATCTGAGTCTGAAGGAATATGAGGTGTCTTGGCTTGGCTTATGATAAATTCTGTCTCAATTTCTAAAGCTCTGTAGCGTTTTGCAGTGTCAGGCCCGTGTTCATGTGTCGGAGGAGGACTGTAGATCCCCGAAAGAAGAGGAACTCGTTGTTGAGTTGCTAGTTGAGCACGATAACTTTCACTAGCCGCCATGTTGAACAGAAGATGTTGGGTTCAAGGCTATCTTCTGTACGAGAAGAAGCGTTATGTAGACGGAGAGGTAAGGCTTAGCTTTTGTGGATGGCGAGAACTACCTAGAGATTTCGGGTAACAACAGTTGCGATAACGTTGGTTTTAGCCAAATCAAGGATGCCGAGTACAAAAAAATGAGAAAAAGTACCGGTATTCTTGTTCAAGTGCAAAGGCTCTGCGGGGTTGTGAACTGCAGGGTAGTTTCCACGGCGGCAAGATCCAGTGGGTATCAACCAATCATAGTACAGGCGCTCGTACCAACAAAACCGCTTGGGTCGAATACCTGATAGTTCGAGACTCTTCACCAAACGTTAAGAAATAATTGAAAGACCAGAAACATGAACCAAAACCACAGCACTTGGGTAATGGTCATTTGATGGGACATTGCAATGGGATTTGAAAGGATTTATTGTGGTTTGTGTATTATTGATTTTTGGTCGGAGTGATAACAATTGAAGGCAGCCAAACTTGGCTTGGGTGATCCCATGCAAATTTTGAAGGCGCAGTGATAAGTTAGGTTACAGCCAGCTGCCTTTGCGAGCCTAGGTTGAGGGTATTCCCGAGCCCATTCTGCAGCAAGGTTTTGCTGCAAAGCCATCACTTTTCCTACTCTGCACATGATGCTCCTATCAGGAGGCGTAGAGTTTTCCGGGAGTTTGGTTGTGTTATGGATAAGATCCAGATAAGGTAGCTAATGCACAATCCTTGTGAGTTGAATCCTCTTTTTACGAGACATGACCAGTTCATAGCTCCCGAACAGAGTGTCAGGGCTTGTGTCACGTCACAATTGCCAGAGTATTTTCAATGTAGTTCCGCCGGGTATATGGAGAGTGATTCCATCTGGTCCACTGTCATGGCTATGCCAATTAATTCAATTTATTTCGTAAAAGGTTCTTTCAGGACTTATTTTGTTCTTCTGGAGAACCATTTCGCACAACGTAGTAAAATCTTACTTTCGTATTTGAAATAGCCAAATAAAGTACCCTCATATTCCGCCGTAGCGTTAACAGGCGCTCACGATCTTTATAAAGGGTGCAATATAATCTCTGTGTATTCTTTCCTGTCTCGCAAATCGTCTTTGCATATTTAATTTGATCCTCGATGCATATATCGCGTCCCAAGGACAAGTCGTCGGCGCAAAGCTTAACAGCGAGATATGGTGATCGTCTTCGGGATGTAAAACAAATTGGGAAGTGTGATCCGAAGAGAGTTCGTTCCCGACACAAACATTGACAGTGACGATGAGTAGACAAAGATTCGGGAAACAATGACGAATGATGTTTTCTGCCTCGCATTCTGCATTTAAGATGGATGTTCGAGAAATCACTAAACTTTCTACAGACTCAAAGATACTCGGTAGAAGCACTCTACAATCGCCATTCTTAACATAATTCACATTCCGCAGCCAATAACCTTGGACAGAACCAAAGTTGAGATCCTTGAGAAACAGTGAACTGATGAAAAAGTTGATGGGGAGTGAGTTGTATCTCGAATGTTTAGAAAATCGGTACCGCTTTGAAACCTCTTGCCTGGATTCGATACAAGTTGAAAGCAGAGGGTGCGGAGTTGTGTTGCGAAAACTCCAAGACGATGATCGCTGCTGCGAATCGGATGCTGCATCCACGGAGGTCAAAAGCTCGAGCTGGACTATATGAGGCTCCTGAAAAGCAAACGTCCAGATCTGAGCCCGGAGTTCGAGTGGTAAATTGCGAAAAGGCGAAAAGGTCGTCAAGTTTAGTAGAGATGATCCATCCAAGATGGTATGCGGGCATATACCGATAGACTGAATGTATCTAGATGCAATGATACGACGCATACTCCGCGTGATTGGGACGTGCTCCGCGACGGAGGTCTCTATCGAATGTTCATAGATATTCATTTCGAAGAATATACGCATATGCAAGCAATGCAACAGTTTTGATAATTGAATTTTATCAACCGGACATTTAAATCAAACAAGAATTTTGAAAGTAAAGATGAAGTTATAACCTAGGTAACATTAGGAGAGCAACAGCTTGAGGTCAACCAACATCCAAGTGGGCCTTCCATCTTAAGCTGGAAATGCGCGCGTAACGAGACCATCCTTTATGAACTCTTAATCCGACTTCAGAAGCTCAATATCCCTCGATGGATCCGTTAAAGCACAAGATGGAAGGTTCTTCATCATCGGTATCTCTGTTCGTTTGCGGATGTATATCTGCAAACGTATGAGGAAAGCGCAGTCGAACACGAAGAAACGGGATGCGCAAAGTCTTAAAATATTAATGGAATATATCCTCAAAGATATCATTCAGTTCGAGATTATACTATGAACCGATGAACCTTAGGAGAGACGAAATTTCAAGAGGTTGGGGCATCACAAACTGGATCAAAACTCGGAATAAAGTATAAGCTATTCATGATGACTAAGCCACCGAAAGTGTGGTAGAGCTTGTTCAACTCAACTACACCTTCAGATCAAGAATTTGCACGTAAAATGATCGAACGGGAGATAGTTCTTCCTATACATCCACAAGCCTACAGAACATCATTTTGAAGTACCGATCGTCTGTATTCTACTCTGGATTGTTTGTCGCCTTGATAATAATCGCCCACTCCGAAATCTATTCTCTATAAATCCCTGAGGCTTCTGGAGCTCGCTCTCGTGTTTCGATACCAGATCTTTGGATTAAAATGGATCAAGGAAGTCGAAATGGTTATAATTTAACATCAGAAGCGATGATATAAATACCCTGGAGCACATAATCGAGTCAGATAAGCATGTTCCTGTACAGAATCCTTTCCAATCAAGTGGTCATCGTTAATATATGTGACATATCTGGTACATTATTTAAAATGCTTTACTCAAACACAAAAGACAACCTCGGTCTTTCTCTTTCCACCACGGTCATGTTTTCAAAGTTGGCTCTGACCGCCGAGATATCATCCGATAGAGACAGCTCAGTAGAAACTCCATTGTCCCGTTTCAATTCAGACTCTTACGCTTCATCATTCTATGTTTCTTCAGATAGTAATCATCCCAAAATCACTCTTTCAACCATATAAAAGCAATTGTGAGTGGAGCAAATTCGATATTATCAGACTTCGAGCAGATCCTACCAATTTTCTCCCTAGCTCCTCTTCAATTTCATACGTCAATTGTGTCCAGTCGCCAAAATCTTCTCTCCAAAAAAGGCCAAAGGACGAGGTGGTCTAGTAAACACAAGATGAAAGAACAAAAGAATTCAAAATAGCAAAAGTTCAGGCCCCAATTTTGGACCTTACATCTTTGTTGACCTATTTCGCGGTCTCAATGACTCCGAAGGGATCAAATGCTCCCCACAAAGATACCGCGCGCACCTCGAGTTGTTGTATCTAACCGTCAAGCTAGAGTGCCGTGTTGTCATGCCACCAATTGACGAGAGCATGCACGATCTCTTTGATTATATTTGAGAATTAGGCGAGAGCGGTCTTGAAATACAATGGTAGAGAAAGTGGCATTGCCGTTCAAAATTGAATATTGGAGACCAAAGTTCGGGTCAAGGAATTCAGTTCTCTTTCCCCAGGAAAGATATTGTTGCCACCGCCCGCACTCAGTTCAATACAATACATATACATCAATAACACGGTCAACGTTGAAGTGGACATCGATGTGGTACAACTCTTTCTGTTTGAGAAATCTTCCGACATTGGTGTCTTCGGAATTACCTTGATTGCTTACTGCAAAAAGCATATGTGAAGATACCTGTACCGAAACGCCGCGACCAGAACATTGATCAGTAGATCGTAATCTCAGCCACAGGAAAAGGATTGTTGTGACTTGAAACCTCATTCAGAAAGCTTTCCAGCGGCCAATTTCCAGTCTACCAGCAACCTACCTTGTCGATCATCATCTCATCAATAATTCAAAAGACTCTAGAGCCCAACCCAATCTCTCCAAAACGTGCCTTTTTTTTACGATGACGACTGGAATGTTGATTTCAACGAAATAAACCCTCTTCAAACTTGGTCTTTCGATATGGAAGTAACATGCGGATGGCTTCACAAAGATACATAAAATTCGTTGATGCGGTTATGCACTCAATTATTCTTCTCCACCGAACGCGGGATGCTTAGTTGAGTGTATGTTTCTTGATGCGATAGAAATCAACCTTTATTGATTTTTGAAGCTTCGAATCGCCGATGTAAAGGCTCAGAGGTTACAACACTCAACGTTGCACAGTCGTTGTAACTTTGGTTTGTGCCTATTGTCAGGTGAGGAGATCAAAGGCTATAACCAGCTTGATCTCTTACCAAATATCTATCGCACTCGATTTATTCATCTGATTTTCGGCAGTGCAAATAACTTTTTTACGAGCCAACACACATGCACCAAAGTGGTATGCAAGCATCTCAATCATAATATTTCTCAACTATTAACCAACTTCCACATCCACACCCTCACTTTCAACAAAAATTCCGCCAAGCATATTTTCCACACGCAAGCGCTCAAATAATCACCATTTGCACTCACAACATCATCTCTATTAAATCACCATAGCCCAACTCGTGCAAACATAAAAGCCGACGATCTCCCTATCTCGTGATCATTAAGCCTTTGCCAAGACCAATTCAGCCGGCACTTAATCAAAACGGATAAATTTTATTGGTGGATCTGGCACTTGCTGCCGAATTCTCCTGCACACATTTTCACGTTCAGGCACAGATAGTTAGTTATCAAATGAGGGGACCCGCGCCAAAAATCTGGGGTATACCAAATCTGCAACGTGAGCGAAGATCTACCGAGTGCGAAGTTTGCGACTGGTGGCTATATTTCATTTTTCGGATGAAGAATAAGCTTAACATGCACGATGAAGTTTCCGTCTTGGCGTTTTGCTTAGATGAATATATCGCTCAGGTGGGTTGCTCGGGTGGAGATTGTACGAGGAGCATGGGAAATTTTTGGGATTGGTTTGGCGCCTGGAATTGGAGGGCGTCCATATGCGGATTTGTAAGTGGAGGTGTATGCGGATTTTGGTGGCTAGCAAAAAGTAAATTTGATTGAAGGGGAAGGGGAACTCGGCGCCGAGAATCTCGCTCGTATTGAGGGGGCCAGATGGAGAAATTGAACATGGAGGTAGATAAAGACCGTTTCTTTTATAATTCCGCATGATGGGTCGAAGGTTAGCAAAACTATATAAAGAGAAGAAGATCGGCTCGAAAATCAAAAAGCTTGGCTCGAACAGCATCTATCAATTTTGCAGCAATTCTTGGCATCGATCTTATACCATCTCATATCATTCATCATGAAGACTTCCGTTAAAGTTCTGCTTTCCTTGCTCGCGGCTCAGGTATGCGCAGTGCCAACTTTGTATTTGGCTGGTGATTCCACCATGGCGCTTGGTGGCGGTGGAACTAGTACTCAAGGTTTGTGCTTTTGTTCTTCATCCTAGAAGTCATATAGGAGTGTGGGAAATTTGTCTAACATATGTTGCGTATAGGATTCGGTGAATACCTTAAATACAGTTTCACCGGTATCAACGTCGTGAACAAAGCCGTTGCCGGACGATCCGCCCGCTCATATTGGAATGAAGGAAAATTTGCTGCACTAGCAGATTTGGTTGTTGCCGGCGATTATGTTCTTTTGTATGTCTTCAATGATTCCTTCTCCTTTTCATTGATAAAAATGTGCTAATTTAACTGTCAGCGAGTTTGGCCACAACGATGGAGGCTCTTTGACCACAACTGATAACCTCCGTACCGATTGCTATGGAGGCGGTACCGAGACGTGCATTTCTCCTGTTACAGGGGAGACCGTGTACACATATGTATTCTACCTCTTACAAGCAGGGTATGTTTCTCTCCCCTTCGGCATTTTCCAATTCTCCATTTCCGCAGCCCTTACCCCATCAAAATCACCAATTCAACTAACACTCCTTCCAGACGTCTCATAACCGCCAAAGGCGCACACTTAATCGTCGCCTCGCCCACTCCCAATAACGTATGGGAAACCGGCACCTTTTCCTACGCCACCCCCCGCTTCACCGGATATGGGAAATCCGTCGTCACTTCTCTTGGCTCGCTGGCCGCCTTTGTCGACCACGGTCAATACGTTGCGAACATTTACGAGTCGCTTGGTGCTACGGCCGTCGATGCGTTTTACCCAATCGATCACACGCATACCAGTCCCGCAGGCGCAAATACTGTGGCCGCTGCGTTTATGAAGGGTCTTATGTGTGGAGGAAGTGCGTTGAGTGCGTATGGCAAGAATACAACTAGTAGTATTGCAGGAAGCTGTGTTTAGGTTAGACGATGAGAAGTTTTTGGGTAGTGTGAAAAAGAGGTGTTGTGGTGGGGGATCTGAAAGGGAAGATTCATTGTATATATGTAAATATTCTATATTCAAATCTATATCTGTATCCGAACTCATTTGCCTATAACTCCTCTGTTCATAAATCATCTACCTATAACTCCTCTGTCTATATCCAACAATGCTCTATACTTTGGTGTTGACAGGCAACATGCCCCTCGCCATTCTCTGAATCTGTGACGAATAATACATGCTCTGGAAACCAGCCCCGACCTGTTTGACAGGCGAGTGGCGAACCAAAAATGGCGGGGATAGTGGTTTAAGAGTGATGTTTGCTTCCTCATCAGGTACGTCTTTATTGAGGATAATCTCGTTTGGCAGTTTGGGAATAACGGCAGCGGGTCGGGCAATACCAATGAGATCACACCCTCCCGACTTCAAAGCCTCCTCCATACCGACTCTTGTGCGGAAACCTCCAGTGACCATCAGGAGGACAGAAGGAAATTGTTTGCGTACTGTTTGGGCGAATTCGAGAAAGAAACTTTCGCGAAGAGAAGTCGTAGGGGCTGAGGAGGGTTCACCCATCATACGAGGGTTTTCGTAGCTTCCTCCGGAAATCTCAATGAAGTCGACTCCAGCTTCTACTATGCACTTGACTTGCTCCATACTATCTTCCAATGACTCGTTGGAAGCAGCATCCACACTGTTCACCTTGATACCGATGCAAAACTCCTTACTCGTTTGCTTTCTGACTTCATTAATAATTCTTACTACGACTTCAGCTCTCTTTCTGGCTGTACCGCCAAACTCGTCGGTCCGGATATTGGACTTAGGAGACAGGAATTGTGCTAGCAAGTAGCCGTGTCTATAATTGAATCAATAAGAGCAATCCCGAGGGAGAACAAAAAGTTAGGGGACAACTTACGCGCCATGGAGTTCAACACCCTTGAATCCCGCCTCGAAACTTTGCTTCGCAGCCAACACAAATTCTTCGATGATACCGCCTTGTCCAGAAATTTCATCAATCGTCAATTCACGTGGTGTGCCGAACATTAACGCGGCAGCGGCCCGTTCGAAGAAACTACTTCCAAAATTAATTGCTACAGCGGAAGGAGCAACGGTTTTTGAAAAGAACCCGCGGTCGCCAGCCCCAAGGGGTGATTGTCTACCAGCATGACATATTTGGACTATGGTGGGTGTTCCAGAGCGTTGGGAGGTTGCCGCCCAGGATTTCCACATGGCTTTGGTCTCTTCTGTGGGTTTGGGAGTGCTGGCTACGTCTTTATGGCCTCCGAGATATTTGGAAGACACTTGAATGTTTCCTGTTATCCGGATTAGGACTTGGAGTCATGACGTTTGAAGTTCTTGAAAACGTAGAAGCTTGGGCATTTCAATTGATCAAATCCACTTGGAATATTGAAGTTTGTCGTAATGCATTCCTGGTTCGTACCTGTCATTATCATTCCCCATCCACCGTCGGCCCAAGTACCATATGCCTTCAAAAATGATTCATCAGGAACATGAGTAGTTGACATAGCTTCGGCCATTGCACCCTTTGAAATTGTATTAGCATTATGGAGGTAGTAGTGATAGAATTTGATGGATGTTTCATACCTTGCAAAGACGATTTGGCAGGGTCAATCCACATGGTAATGTGATCTTCTCGGAAAGTAGCATGATGAAACGGTTCTTTTAGATTTTGGATATACAAGTATGGCAGTATTTGTTATCTTGATTGAATTCATCTTTTTTCGAGGATTTTCAAAGTTTTATATGGTCCCAATCACCGAGGTGTACCCATCGTCTCTTGAAAGGAGGACCGGGACATGATTTGAAAGCACCACATCGTCGGACTTTGATCGGGCAGATAATTGCGCCGACTGGGAGTGGATCATAAGAGGAAAAAAATTGATAGTCATATCATATCAGCGTTTGAGTTTTCACGACGACAACAATGTGAAGAAATCATGACATGAAATGAAATGAAAAATGATGGTCTATGTCAACAGTGTGCATAGTTTATGTCTAGTTTTCGGCTTCTCACTCTTAATAGGCTTTCGGATGAATTTCATGTACTCCATAGGCTACCTACCCACCGCCTAGACGAAAGAAGGCGAGGACGGCTTACTAAAGGTGCTGACAAACCTTTCATTGCACGTCCAACATATGAACAAAACACAACAAAACACAACAAAACAAAATGTTTTTCCCTCAGTCTTGGTAATGGAGCAATCAATTACTACATTATCCATATTATCCATATTATCAGGAGTCGCGCTCCATTTATATATATCTCTGAGCCTTCCCACATTCCCTCAGGATACCATTTCATTTACATAATTGCTTGATCTAGGCAAGCATAATTAGATGATGACACAAACATCAAATCCTGGTTCAAACCCCGAGGCGCTGGAATGCTCCATCTAGCTAATTGAGGCTATCTTTTTGTATGCCATATTGCTAATTGCATTCCACTCGATTGTGGACTATATCTCAACAGCGCACTGGATGTCATAATTAAACCGGGAAATCTGACCACTTTGTTGCAAATATAGAGAAAAAATTGGTGGGAGAACGCATCGCTGGTTTGTCATGTATGAGTTACAGTATGGCCAACGATTGCAACACGGTCATTGTTGATCTACTCAGCAATTAACGGTATTGATCTGTCAATCTTGGTTATCCTACCGCTCTAGCATTCAACTCCAAGCCCATAACTCACTGCAACATGGGCTATTTCTGCATAGCCGTGTCTTTTCTCAGAGTGGAAGAGACTTGATTTCTCAAATGAGACATTGGCAGAGATAGAGAAGGTTGGACAGAAGCACATGGATGATGAGGATACATGATTTTCGACTCTTCTGGCCATCGACAAAGTATGTGGTGGTGATCAGAAGAGCCACTACATCGTGCTTCATATACCAACTTCCATCGATGCATTATACAATCTGTTGGTGCTTGCTAGGCGTCGTAAATTACAGGGGTTGACTTCGCAGTGCGTTCTCAATATAGTATGCCCCACATCAGCATCAAACTCAACACCGATTGAGCACAAAATCATTCTGGGAAGGAAATTGGTTCATCGAATACCTCGCGTCAGCCTGAATGCGCCGCAAATTCTCATTGCGGGATCTCTCACGACTCGGGTCCATATCGATGGTCTGAATTCATGTTAGAATACCAACGGCGGCCATTTGCCAACCATTAATATTCGATGATAAGGCGCCAGTATAAGTCTATGAAACGCTTCGGATCGAATTTTCCGACCGTTTCTTGTGCCGCATGATCCACCAGACAAACGAATGACCTACACGAGATCTATTTCTGTGTTTGACGACTTTGGCTTGTGGAATGCAGGCTATGTATTCCGAGTTGTTGATCGGTTCCACACTGAAGAATTTCTGCAAAGGAGAGGGGCGACAGTCCTCAGCTACACTCGTGGCCGATGTTTCCAGCCGAGCTGAATGTGAGAACGAATCATTCTGTCACAATAGCCGTACTTGATCACCGTCAGACTGGTTCACACGACATTACTAGCCTGTGTGACATTCCAAGCCTTGTCAGCATGCAGCTCGTGCTTCCTTCTCCACGCTTACTGCAGGTCCATTGTGAGGGCTTCGAGATCTGTCCACAATCTATTATCGAGTGTTCCACGCGAGATCTGCCACGCGATGTCCACGCTACGATACCTTGGCGGGACATTAACGCTGGTCAAGATCAGAAACCGCTTGTAGTTCCGATTCGGAAACCGAATGAAAGGAATAGACGACAGGAACGGACCCCGAGTCAAGAACTTTTACTTTTTTCTAACTACATTGATGAATTGAATACACGAAATCATCTGATCGCAAGTTCTTATCTCAACAACAATATTGAAAGCTAGACTCGGGTCAACGATCAAGATGTTCTTTTTATGGTGTCGTGATGATCATCGTATGATTGTCCAACAGACATGAATTTGCACCAACCCATACTTGCGAAATGAGGTTTAAAATACCCACAATTTCTCCAATCTCGAGCAGCAGCTATCTCCAATATGATAACTTTTAGCAAGGCCGGGGAAGCGGATCGAGAGTGGGCGTCTGGTCGAGAAAGTAATTAGGCAGACATTACAAATCGAAATGTCCAAAAGATACTAGCGCCAACAAGTTAACGAAACAGTCGAGAATGGATCACAGAAAATGGATTCACTGGGCCTAGAAATAAAGTCAAACAGCTTGCCCAAATATTGGCAACCTCATTCATAACCAATAAAAGACTTCAGAGCCTCTAAAGGGATAAGCCAAGCGAAATAGTTTCTCAGCTTTCGATTGCTAGACATATCGTCTGTGTGGTTGTATTCACAAGCTAAGTACCAGATTATTGTAGGTACCTCATATTGTCTTTTGTATACATTCCAATTCGCACAAACACGGGCGGATTTTACAAAGGGATGTGATTGTTTGTAACACAACCTTTTCTCAAACTATTTCTTCACAGTACTCCTCGTGAGCATATACATACTCCGTATCTCCATTGAATTTCTACTTTCCTTCTCGGGAATCTTGCCGCTCGAATGCATAATTGCGCGTGAAGTACCGTTATATTTTCAGAATATGGCGGGGGGTTCGAACAAGTGTAGACGAAGATGTTACCCGGCGCGGGTGAACTCCCAAGTTTGGATTTACCCCAGATAGTGTAATGCTATTAATCTAGTAACGTTGATATCTACAGTCAATGATGATTGTCTGTCTCAACTTATCACCGATGACGAATTTTCACCGGCAATCTCCTTCAAAGTCGTTCATGTAACTCTGTACCGTTATCGTACCACATGAAACCCGTGTATTATTCGTGGCTTTTAGGCAACTGCAATGATCTATTTTTGGAATTTTAAAATCTCTTGCCCGCCTTCAAAGCTATATTGACGGGTGTTAGCAGCCCATCCATGGCTAATGCAGGACGCACAAGATGATTTACGGCGCTATAAGCACTCAAAACATACGGCCTCTCAAATTGTATAGTATACAATTAGATGAATTTGATTTCAAAGCTAATTCCGGGATCTACACCCAATCTGGGTTGACAAGGGCAAGAATGCAGAAGGCAACACTTAGCAAGGATGTTTAATAGCTAAGCCAATAGGAATGAAGCGAAGGCCACCACTTAAAATCTTTATCAGATGAGACCTACTACATTAGGGGATCGCCAAGGAAATCTTAGCAGCGGGATGGCGCAAATACTCAAGTTTTCTGTGGACAAAATGAACTGAAATTTTACATGCCCACGGCAGTTGTTCTTAGTTACTTCGAAAAACGTTGACATGCTTGAACCCATGAACCTTTTACGCATGGTAACTCTTAGAATGTTTGCGATAAGGATTGGAAATTGGATTTCTAATCTCAATTCTTCCACTGACTGTCAACTGCTTGTGGCTAATACAGCAAATAGTATATTATTGGGTGGATTGGAAATCCTGCTGCGGAGAGGCGTTCGACCCCAGCAATTTTGCTACCAGGGGAGGCTGCCCGCGGTTGGCAAGCCTAGTCGACACTCTCGTATGGACAGAAAGAGTTCATGACATTTGGGTTGAAATTTCCCGATCGTTCATTTCTCCTAGACTCGTGCTTCAACTCAGGTTAAGGTTATTGACACAAACATTCTTTGAATATTGATCAATACGCCTGGGCGTGTAAGCAAGAAATCAAGCTTATGGTAAATAGATGAAATTCAACAGGTGGGCTATGCCCTAGGGTATATGACAGCGATGGTGGTATTGGTGGCATCGGTGGCACGAGTGGCTGCAGAATAACCTTGTACACCAACCGGGTTCTCTCCCTTGCTCTGGCGTTATACCTAGTCCTCCACATCATTATCTTGTGGGGCGCAAGACCATTTCAAGAGCATTACATCAGCGAATCACTTTGGATTTTATATCTTCAGTCTTTTAGGAAACTCGATAATTCTTTTCATGGTGGCATCTGGTACAAACTAAAAACGCCGAACTTTTGTCGGATTTATTGTTGTCTGTTGACTTCGCGATCAATACTACTTTCCCAACTCGAACTCGGGGTCCCGTAAACAATGCTCCCTCGAGCTGAATCTTGACCTCGAATCTTGAAGATCGTGAACAGAACATCTGAGAAGACAATGGAGGATTGGAAATCGGAGTTCAGGAGTCTTCTGAATTGGATGAAGTACCAATATCAGCCTGACTGTGGTTGAGATTCGTGCTGTCGACGGCGACAATAAATACCATGGCTGTTTCCCGTTTTCAAAATGTATCCTTCATCAGCTTCTCACCACTCTTCACCAAGAGATCAACGGGTCACATTCAGAGCTTTCTCGACAACTCATCTTGCGCTTCCTTCAAAAGGCTGCACAATATATTTGGAAAGCAACTTGGTTCAACAAGATTTCATCCGCCCAAAACAGATCCTGATATCGATCGATCTCAAGAATGGTTTCTATCCGCGCCTTGAGCCTTTTGGCTTTAGGTTCTTCATCTGTATTAGCATTGTAGGTGCTTGCAAATCAGAAAATTGGCAAACACCCTTACTGACATCTTCAAGAAATCCCAAACAGGCACGATACTGGTCTCGAAATGATGCTCGGGCTAAAGTTACACAAGACACACCGAGCGAAGTTGACTATATCGTTGTTGGCAGTGGTCCAGGTGGTGGGCCTCTTGCATCTCGTCTTGCTCTTGCCGGATATGAAGTGCTATTGATCGATGCTGGAGATGACCAAGGGGATCAGATCCTCGCTGAAATGCCTATCTTTCAATTCGCATCGACTGAGATTGAAGCACAGCAATGGAATTTCTTCGTGCATCATTACTCGGATCTCGAACGTCAAAAGAAGGATACGAAAATGACCTATCAAACTACTGATGGAGACTACTACGTCGGATTAGATCCTCCAGCGGACGCAGAACCACTTGGTATCTGGTATCCCCGAGCTGGAACTCTTGGTGGCTGCTCGAACCATAACGCTATGATATCAATCTACCCACACGAGAGTGATTGGCAATACATTGTAGACATTACCGGTGACGATTCTTGGGCTCCTGACAACATGCGAACATATTTTGAAAAGATGGAGCATTGCGATTATCTCCCAGAAGACACTCCCGGACATGGCTTTGACGGATGGCTCCACACAAGTGCCACCAATCAAACTATGATTGTTCAAGATGACAAGATTAATTCGATCGTTATCTCTGCCGCTGATGCTTTCGCAGTAAATGCATCCGACTCGATTCTTGCGACTGCTGAAGGCTTCAACCAAGTCGTCTCTCTAGATCCTAACAACCCATTACCTACGCGAGACAACGACACTGGATTGTACCAGATTCCAATTGCTGTTGATGGGAGAACAAGAAATGGAGCTAGAAATTTCATCCTCGAAACAGTGAATGCAGTCAATACTGACGGATCCAAAAAGTACAAGCTGTCCCTCAAACTCAACACATTCGTAACAAAAATTCGATTCTCTAACGATACCACACCTCGCGCTCTCGGTGTCGACTTCTTGGAGGGCAAGAGCTTATACAGAGCCGATCCTAGAGCTGGAAAAAATGGAACTCAAGGTACTCCCGGTAGTGTCAACGCAAGAAAGGAGGTTATCATTTCAGGCGGAACTTACAACAGTCCTCAGCTCCTCAAGCTCAGTGGTGTTGGACCCAGAGCTGAACTCGAATCATTCAACATCCCAGTTCTAGTTGATCTTCCCGGTGTCGGTACCAACATGCAAGATCGCTACGAAACGACCCTTGTCTCTGAATCAGATGTTCCATTCTCCATCGCCGAGGGCTGTACCTTCCTCACCACTGCCGACGATCCCTGTTTAACGCAATGGCAAGACGACACTGCAGATGCAGGACTCTACGCCACGCCCGGTCTCCCGCTCGCCATGATTGCGCGATCCAGCACCGCAGAACAAGATCCTGATCTCCTGATTTCCGGCGCTCCCGCTAATTTCCACGGTTATTATCCAGGATATTCCGGCCCTGCTCTCGGTGATGCTCTACACTGGAGTTGGATTACGCTCAAGGCTCACACGCGCAATACCGCGGGGACAGTCACCCTTCGATCAACCGATCCGCTCGATACTCCGTTGATCCAGATGCACTATTTCGACGAAGGAACATCGACTGATGATGCGTGGGAAAAAGATCTCCAGGCAATGTACGAGGGCATGTCACTTTCTCGCCAGATCATGAATAGTGTTGTTCCGCTCGACGGATCGTTCAACGAGACATGGCCTGGAGCAGACGTTTCCACAGAAGAAGAACTCAAGGATTTTATCCAGGATGAAGCTTGGGGTCATCATATTTCGTGCACGAATCCCATTGGTGCTGATGATGATGAAATGGCGGTCTTGGACAGCAGTTTTAGGGTTCGGGGAACAAGTGGTTTGAGAGTAGTCGATGCAAGTGTTTTCCCTAAGATTCCGGGATTCTACATTGCGGTGCCAATTTATATGGTTAGTGAGAAGGCGGCGGCGGTTATAATTGAGCAGGATGCGGCGGGAACGAGTTATAGATAGGTAGTGGTTGGTTGAGTGGAGGTTGGAGGTTGGAGGTTGATTTTTGTGTTGTCGTGGGTTTTCATTCTTCTTTCTTGCAATTATTTACGGAATGGTGGTGCGGGTGCAGGTGGTGTCTTGTTTTGCTATTGGTATTGTTATTGTTGTTGCTATTCTTTTTACGGATTGGAGTTGCTTTCATTTTAGGGGTACTAGATGTAGATAGTTATTCTTCCATGGGGTGTTTAGACTTGCATTGGCGGTTTGTTAGAAGCTGTAGATAGTTATTTGAATTCACTCGTTGCTTACCAACCCCTCTGTGCCAAATGCCATCTTAAAATTTTGACACTCGCTACCCACAGGGGTGATATCCAAGGGACCCCATTTGGATGTTCTTGCTTCGAACTAGTATGCCGCTAGGGTCTGATTGGGCAAGTACCTTGTTTATCATTACTAGGGTATAGTTTTCAACTCGTCTCTTCTTTCCTGGTATTTCTTATTGCTATCTTCTTGTAGGTAAATCCTGCCATAATTGCTATCGTGGTTTATGGTTCAAAAGTTGTTCGAAATGATTATTGTCAACATAATAGGTTGTGGCCATCCGCTCACAAGCTGTATACCTCTGCATCACCTCGCGGAGACACCTTTGATTACCGCACGCAACTACCGGTACTAACACGGAGTCCGAGCATTTCAATAACTAATTGTCTCTAGAGCCCAAGCGCTCACCACTGCATACCTAGGTAGGTGTACGCAGAGTAGTTGATAACCATAACGAGAACTTCCGGCAATTGAAGTATCTGCCCCTATGCTGTCCAGGGTCTAAAATGAGATTATTTCTGACAGCGTCGATCTGTACGAGAAGAGTTGATGATCTACTGCGTGTGCACTGACACATTGCCCATTCGGTATATTGAACATCGTAGTCCCCGCCGTTGGAAATTATGCTTTTATATTGTTTCCTCCTAAATAGCCTTATCCCCACATTGTTGACGAAAATAACGGGCATGCTAAAATCATCATATCATGTGCGCCTAGTTTGCACAGTGGTCTTGGGGGGCACGACAATGATCTATATACCGCCAGATTTTGATTTATGTATTTATGGTACTAGAAAATGTATGCGGTTTTTTGACTTCAACAAATTTATCATCTTGTTGAATTATAATTATGATATTGAGATGATATGATATGTAATGATATGTAACGATTAATGATCAGTCAAAGTATGGTATCTTGGTTTTTCTAACCATGATGCTCCCCATTTTAAGCTTTTGAATTTTGACATACAGAGTAGACACTGGAATTCCCAATTAGGAGGTTTCTTTTTTAGCTCAATAATATTCACCGTCATTGGAAAATCTCTGCATGGTTAATTCATTCTCCATGACGATCTTCACTATCTCGTCTCTTTTGGTAGCTGTTCTTCGTGTCTTCTGTGGAGGCCGTATGATTATTTTCTGACTGTTTTACTCGTGCTGCCAGCATATCGAAATACAGAGTGGATCTGTATGTGCATCAAAGCTGTCTTGCTTGGGTAGTTTCCATGTTTAGATATGCTGGAAAGAAGAGCAGGTACTTTCGGGAAAATAAAAGTCTGGGCGATCAGTGACCACAAAGGTGGGACGTCTTGTTTCGTAGATGAGAAGACGTCCCAAATTCCTAGTCTTTGAACATCCACTATACAGCCATCAAAATCTCCTGGGATTCAATAGCTCCTGTCTGTTTCCCCTTTCAAGCATTGATGTGATCGTCGTCCATATTCAAATCCTGATGACGATGTGAAGTCTATGTATGGATTCTTGTATATATACCCCATCATTCACTTTCCCATCTCATTCTCACTATCACTCATTCATCCAACTACTACACTTTCCTTAACAACCCCACGTTCTTTACAAAACAAATCCATAATTTTTTATATAATTCTCTAATTCTCCATTCTCCAACCTCAATCCCTCAAAATGCAATACAAAGCCAGCCTCATTGCCGTTCTCGGCCTCAGCGCAACCTCCTTTGCCGCGCCCCAAGCCCCCATCCCAGAGCTCGCATCCGCTCCCTCCGTCCTCTCCGAGCTCCCCTCTACCCCAGTCTCCGCTCTCCCAATCCCAAGAGATGCGAAAAACCTCGCCTCGCCTTTCTCGGTCGTCGACGGTGTCGTCGCAAAGGTCGGAGCCAAGAGACAAGTTGGAGGACTCACCGGTATCACTGGTGTCGCCTCACCTGTCATTTCGCCAGTAACTGATATCCTTGCCGACGTCGCTATCAAGCGCAACCTCATTCAAGTCACCGACGTTGTTACCTCTATCAAATCAGTCAGAACCACTGTCGTTTCTGATGTTTCTTCTATCAAAACTCTCATCACCTCCGTTGGTACCACTGCAGCCGGCCAACAAGGTCTTGCCGAGGAGATCATCAAGGATTTGGGTGATATTGTTGCCGCACTTACTGGCGCTGTTGATGGTGTTCTCGCCCAGACCTTACCTACTGTGCTTGACGTTGTCGTCACTGAGGTCACTGATGTTCTCGCTATCTTGTCCGATGTCGAGGCCATTGTTTTCCAAATCGTTCAAGTGCTTTCAGACCTTCTCGGTAGTCTTTTGGACTGTATGTATTTCCTTTTCATCTCCCTCTTCACTTCATCCCTTAGCTTTCTCCCCTTCCTGTCTTCTCATTCATAGACCGTCCCATGAAATATAAAACTAATTCTATATAGCAACCTTCGAACTCGTCACTGCTGAAGTACAGGAAGTCTACAGCCTTCTCAGCCCAGTCCTCACTCCAGTTCTCAGCTTTGTTGGCCTTGTCCAAGGTGATGCTGGTGTGATCCAAGAGGTTAACACTGCTGTTGGTGGTATCTTGACCACCGCAAACGGACTTTTGAGCGAGAAGGGATTGAAGGAGATCGAATTGTAGATTGTGATCTTCGAAAATAGAGGAGATGAGGAGTAGTACTTGGAGGGGATGGTAGATGAGGAGATTGAATTGGATTGGAGATTTATATGTAATTATTTATGAGATTAGATTTAAATTTTAAATAAACTAATATTTCGATTGACATATGTTTTGCCTCCGGTGCAATGGATTCTTCATTCGCTAGCTTTCCGTGTGAAAAATTGACAGTAAAAAGTGCTTCGCTCTTTGAAGTCAAGTACCGAATGCCTCGTCGGCATATCACAACCTGCCCAATAAACATACTTACGTGCTGTAAAATTCTTAAACAATATAATTCATGATCACTAGAATGCAGCAGGTAGTAGGTAATAGAGGGCCCTGTGAAACGAATGATAATTTGCTGCAAGTTTTTTGCGTCAATGCAATAAATGCCATCCATCCATAATATCGCCATCATCAATTGTTGTCTGTCTCGTACTGATTTGAGACTGTCTAGCAGTTTGCTCATACTGGGGTATCGCCGCTTTTCGAGATTCTATATATTCGTCCCTCGGGGTAACAACTGATTTAACTCTAGAACTCTGGACGTTATCCATCTTCGTCGCATCATATTCCAACAAGTTTGGAGAATACATCTTCCATGGTAAGACATTCCCAGTATGGAATTACTCCCTTAGATTTGATTGGACATATCAGTGCCTGTAGTGTCAGTGGATCAAGCCAGAGATCGAGGGCGTCGCCCTTAATATTTTCTGCGCGTCCTCCAAATCTTGGAATGGTGTCTTCATAGGATGTCAACACCGCTCTACTGATAAGTGGGTAATGTTCGCGCCTTTGACGAATGATAAGTGTGATATCAGTGTCTTTCAAACGACAGATGAAATCATTTTCCCGGACTTCAGCTGAAGTAATGCCAAACTCTCTTGTGCTTGATATAAAAAATCCTGTTTCGTGAACCCTGTCAAATCTGATCGACATTTCTTTGGTCACAGACTTTCCGACATCACACAGCGGTAGATTTTCTCTCGTAGCGTAACCAAATACACTGTCGAAACTCTTTAAGATGTTCTTGCTACAGGAATCCAAGTCTCTAATTTTGCTTGAAAGAATCTTCCATGTGCTTTTAATCTCTGGCAATTCCATTTTCAATCTTTGGGGGAGATCATGTCTGCCAATACTAGACGCGACAACAAGGCCTTCCATATAACCACGGTAATTGAACAATTCTGTCTGGCTTACTTGTTCTATTTCACACCACTTCAAAGCCATTCCAGGGGCTGGGATAGGACCATTTAATACAAGCTGCAGAATCTGACTCAGTCTTATGATGCCGAGTGCCGGTGACTCTGTTGATCGTGTTTGAGTATAGCAGTTAAGGATTTCAACATATGTATCAAACAAGGGTCGAGCATAATCTACAGGGAAATTGCAGAGTTCCGTGTCACTGACTATTCCTAGAAGAACATATATTTTATCGGCTTGGACTTGGCATTCGGAATTCGAAAACATCTCCAGCAATGAATTGAAAGGTCATCTTTGATTGCCAGTCTCTCGGAGTCTGTCAAAATTTGCTGGTGCACTCTCTAGGATAGCTTCGATAACTTTTATCTTAAGCTTTCTATCCCAACTCAAGGTAAGTGAAGACCTAAAGTTCTCCAAAAGGTGTCTAGCTTGACTCCATTCTGCCCAGGTCACAGTTCTCAGTCCTGGACTATGTTTATTGCTCTAGCAAATAACCGGGTCTTTAGCGAGAAGAACTTCCTGCACAATCCATAAGCGATTCTAATATGGTCTGCTACACAATTCACCAAGAGATACAAGTTCTGCGCCTAGAAGAAGCCCATCATTTTCTTCGGTAACATTTGCTCCAGAACCTTTGCACACTAGATTTTTCTGCAATGCAGCCAATCTTTTGATGAAATCAAATCCAACGTCAGGTATCAAAGTCTCCGCATTATTTCCAAACCCTCACCTAGCCATACTATGACTTCTCTTGCCTGTTTATAGATACTGCCCATTTGCATGACCTGATGATTTCTCTCAATTACATCATCTTGATTGATGCATAAAGCGTCAATCCACAGGAAGGGAGTGGTTGGACAGATATGTACCAAGACATTTGCTAGATTAGCTCGCACTTCCACTCGGGTGCCGTTAATAACTATACATTTTAGGGACAAATCCTCTCCCCACGCATAGGATAGCGCAGAATACTCTATATGATTGCTGAGCGATTTCACGACGAGCTTGAAGGCCGGTAGGTTGCGATAACTTGTTGATTCGGGATAGGCAACCACTCGTTCTAGAAGTCTAATCTGGTCGGTGGATCGGTCCAGAGGTTGATAAAATTCGGTAATAGGGTGTACGAGAAACACAGCAGAGTGTGGGTCCAAACAAGTAATTAAGGTGTTCCTCGTATTGGAACTTGATCGATTTGACGTCCTACTTGTGTGTACAATTGGTTTTCCCGCATGCTTGGACACTATCACCGTCGGCCTTGTACGACTATTCATTTGGTGGCAATGCTGGAAGTAACCGTCTATGCAATTCAATGATATCTGAAGATTTGTCATAAGATCTGATATAGCTGGAGCGTCGACTATCCGGATCACCACCCTCTGCCGTTTCTGATTGTGTCTTCGTCTCCCGTACCTTTCCAATATAATATCGTTTACATATCTCCTCTGGGGTGGCCATCTTCTTGCCAAAGAATCTTTACGGTCTGCATCAAAATCAATGGCGCATGGTTCATCCACAGTATCTGGCTCGTTGTTAACAGGGACTCTTTCTTTGCTCCCACTAGCCATAACTACAGGTTCGTCCCTCTGACAGTCAGATGTAAATACCGGCGATGAGGGATTATGTATCTTGAGAGATCGAGCGGTGTTCTCGTATGTTCGACACTCAGGACGGGACACATCAACATTTTTTAGCATCATAGCAACTTCTAATGTCTAGCCTTATCGGTGTCTGGGTGCAGGCTTGCAGGTGGCTGTGCCATTTGACGATGGCCAATCAACTACCCTTCACAGTTTATAACAATGGTTCAAGCCTGCTCACCCCTTATTTCCAAATGGAATGTCTGTATTTGTGTGTACGCTGGACCCGTGAAATCGTTTGATGGTTTGCCTTGAAAATAGTCTGCATGTGGGAAAATTGGAGTACGTAGGATAAAATTCTTTCATTTTGGCAGCTGAAAACGGTGGGCACAAGTCTTAAACCTCTGGGATCGAATGGAGAGTGGGGTATCTTGAGAAAAACGAAACAAGTCAACGGTCTAGCAATGTCACGTTCCATTCTCTTTTCCCATTTCCTTTCCCAATCGTTCACTTCGCTCCTTCCATAATCTCCGAAGCTCAAACCCTACTTCCACAGCAATGAGAACAATAATAATCCACTCTAGATGAATACTATGTTTTTCGCTCATCGTCTCCCGAAGAATTGTTGCGATTTCCTGGGCATAATCCATCTTCTGATTCAGAGTCTTGATCCGTACACCAACATCAAGAGCCCTCCCAACCTGATCATAATATCCTTCCAGGCCCAATTCATGCCGACTATCCCAAAACAGATCCGGAAGTGAATCTGTAAGCTCGGAATAGTGGTTCAGCCGCGCTCGTAAATCGAGCAACTCTCCAGTCTTTTGTAACATGAATTGCCGATTAAATGGTAGCCTTGAACCTCGTGAAAGTAATGTGGGTATAGATTTAGTAGATTCGAAGTATTTGGATAGCATAGTCTCGAGGACCGCGAGTTTTGTTGATCTAGCAAGGCCAGAGGAAAACGCGATTTTCGCAAGGGTTGTATCGACTTGTGAGCTGCAGCAATAGTTAGTGTACACGATTCATGACGCAAATACGACTGATCATAGCATACCTTATACGTCCCTCGCTTGGTGAGTCCTTCGTTCCTAACACAATGGTGTCTCCTCTGATACTGCTATTTTCCCGTTTGGGGTCTTCCTCGCATTCCAGATCTTCTATCTCAACGTTGCCTACATGTGAATCAATAGCGGCCGGCAATAGGGTCTTTGTTGCCAAATCCGTAACTACATCTTCGGGCAAAGACCATGCCACAAGTGAACCCGAAGGAAACACAAATATATCTCCATTATTGACCCCTCGTGTGTGTATAACCTCATCGGATTCAAAGCCAGTTCCATCCGGGTCAATTGAGAAACCATGAGATCTTAGCACTCGAGCTACAGCTTCCATATCAAAATGATCTGCCACGGAGATAGCAATAACTCTGTTTGTGCCTTCAACATTTTCAGAGGTGACTTCAGGTCGAGTTATGTTCTGCCTGGATCTTTGAGCTTCAACTGCAACCCTCCTCAAACTCGTCTTCCCAGCGGGCGACCGTAAAGGTTTCCTTTTTTGAACCGGCTTCAGCTCGGCTGTTGATTCGATACTTGATGATGCGACATCTTGTTGGAGGGTAGCATTGGAAGAGAAAAAGTTCCGTTTTCTGGGGTATAGTGTTGGTGCTGAAGCATGGAGGCATCGATAAGGAAGTTGCAAATTATTTCCACCAATTGGCCGTCTAACTGCGACAGAGCAAAATGAACGAGAAAAGACTTCATGATAATTGTAGACCTTATCAGTCATACAACATAAATTATATAGAAAATTGTCCATCTTTGCGGGGGTTCGAAACAAATTCTTAGGATCACAGAAAATTAAATTTACTGCCGAAAGCCTAGAACTCGGCTATCTCAGGTTGCTCCAAACCTCAATGGCATTGACGTCGTCGGTGTAGCTACCCCTGCACATCCTTGACAACAAAAGCAAATGTGATCGGGAGAGTCTGCCGTTATGGCTGAAGGGTCAGAAGAACAAAGCGACACCAAAAATCTGGACAGTGTTGAGTCCAGTCAAGGTGGAACTGAAACCGGGGACGATGATGACACCGTTGAGACAGAGTCGGAGGATGGCGAAGAGGAGGACGAAGAGGAGGACGAAGAGGAAGAGGAGCCCAAGCTGAAATACGCTCGAATGACAAGCCATCTTGGACCAGTCTATAGAAATGGAGATGCTACAAGTACCTTCCTGGTTGCTGGCGACAAAATGGTAAACCTCCACCACCAGGTGACTGTATTTCTCTAGCTAATTGTTTCCTAGTTTGTTGGTACACATAATGGTAATATTGTATGATACGGATCCCTCCCTTCCCCCAGATAATCTGCTAACAGTTTATGTAGCATGTACTGTCGTTGCCTTCATTCAAGTCTATTCGAACCTACCATGCCCATTCAGCTTCAATTACGAGCATATCCATATCCCCTTTCCCTCCTCCTCTACCCACACCAGTTCCCGAAGCTGTACAACGCTTTACGTCGCGCGTGCAACCAGAAGCTCCAAATGCACCGCAAAGAGCCCCATCAATGGCATCCCAGGCCTCCGCGAACACAGCTCGGAGTCCTGGAGGTCCGGTAGTCCCCAAAACTCCTTCGAACGCAATATACATTGGCACGTCTTCCGTTGATGGCAAGGTATGCATAGCATCCTTGGTTGATGTAAAAGATGTACAATTGAGGGATTTTGCAAGACCTGTCCAGGCTGTTAGTCTGTCGCCGGATTACAAAAACGATCGCTCATACATATCGGGAGGACTGGCAGGAAATCTGGTGCTTACCGTCGGCGGCAAAGCAGGTACAAGCTCGACTTCTACCACTACAGGAAGTGCGGCGGCCACTGCAAGTGGCTGGCTTGGGACTATTGGTCTAGGAACGCATGCTGGGAAGGATACCGTGTTACACTCTGGCGAAGGCACAATTAATACCATCAAGTGGTCCTTATCAGGAAGATATGTGGCATGGAGCAATGAGCATGGTATCAAGATTATGAGGTCTCATCTACAACTGGATAGTGCGGATACTGAATCTGCTTGGAAGCGAATCGGGCACATACCTCGTCCAGATGGAGAGCAATGGGAAGATATGGCTAGTGTTTGGAAAGCTAGAGTCGAATGGATAGACGAGAAAACTCTTGAAACTGATGAAGATGACAAAGCTCGCGAAGCATCATCTGCTTCCCCAGCCACAGCAAAATTGAGATTGCAAGCCTCGAGGGACAAATTGCGTATTGAAAAGTTGGTCGTTGGATGGGGTGGTACAATCTGGATGATTAATGTGCACCCTGGTGGAACCGGGGTTGGAAAGAATGTGGGAGAGCGCACAGTTGGTAGCGCTGAGATCATCAAAATGTGAGTTGCAAGATATGAACTTATTATCACGGTGTTTCCAGCACTTTTCTAACATTATTAGGTTACGGATGGATTGCATAATTTCTGGATTATCGTTATATACCCCAACTTTACTTGTTGTACTTGCTTATGTTATGCCCGATGAAGAAGATGAGGAATCTATTACACCGAAAGGACATAAATCGCATCCGTCAACAGGTAGCGAGCCGAGCGGTGGAATACGGCGTCGACAAAACGCACTATCTCCGGAACTTCGTCTTATTGATCTTGGAACATCCCAAGAAGTTGATACTGATGGATTGACGGTCAGCCGTTACGAAAGGCTCTCAGCTGGTGATTATCATTTGTGCGTATTGCCTGCCGCTCGAGATCAACCAGTAGTTCAATCATCTCGTGGAACTCTGGAAGCCCTTACTGGAATGGGTAGTGGTATGTGGAATGCTACAATCAACGCTACGGCACTGTTGAGTTCCAGTGCAAGTGTGATTAGCAATGGAAGTACAGGTGATGGTGATTCGAAACACACATCGATTAGATCGAAAGTTGCTCACCACAATCGCGCCACGGCTGCTCATCCGCACATCATCACACCAGGGATGAAAATCTTCATCCAAAGTCCATATGACTGTATTCTGGCTACGAAGCGAGATTTATCCGACCATCTTGCGTGGCTATTAGAGCACGAAAAGCACCAAGAGGCCTGGGAACTCATTGATGAACACCCCGAAGTGATCTCATCTTCTCCCGAGAAACTCTCTGAAATTGGGCCAGCAACTCCGGATCGAACACGCTCAAGTAGTGATGATTTCTACGATAACGAAAGTACAACCATCGAATCTGCAAGTCGCTTGATTAACTCTTCTGTGGAAAAAGAGAAGCGTAGGATTGGTGAACTTTGGATTCAATCATTGATTGAGAACGATGACTGGACCTCAGCAGGTAGGATATGTGGCAAAGTGCTGGGTACATCGGATCGGTGGGAACATTGGGTCTGGACATTTGCTGGAAAGGACAAATTTGATGAGATTACCAACTTTATACCGACAGCACAAATCACGCCACCTCTGCCTTCGACAATCTACGAAATCGTACTAGGGCATTATATCACCCATAACTTACCACGAGTTGGCGAGTTACTCGACCAATGGTCTCCCGACTTGTTCGATATCAAAGCTGTAGCCACAGCTCTAGAAAACCAGCTCAAATATCGTGATGTCCGCCAAGACAGCGTAGAGGATGGCAAAATCGGTAGAGATTGGAGAATTGTCATGGAAAGTTTGGGGAAGCTTTACGTGGCTGATGGTCGACCTCGCGAGGCATTGAAATGTTACATGAAGCTGCAGGATGCAGACACCGCCATGGGTCTTATTAAACAATATCATTTGGTGGACGCAGTCGCAGATGATCTACCCAGTCTTATTATGCTCCGCGTTTCAAAAGAGCAGAAGCGACATGCTCCTATTTCAGAATTAAAAGAAGCTACTTCCGAGGCTATTCAATTACTTGTTGACGAGGCTCATCATGGCCTTGTTCGGCCTCAAATTGTCGTGGATCAGTTGGAAGAAATGCCACTGTACCTCTTCTTCTACGTCAGCTCCCTCTGGAAAGGAGACGGCATAGACGAAATTCCAGGCGAGAATCGTGATCGATTATTAGCAGAAAGTAGATCGCTTGTCGATGGTTTGGCTGATTTGGCTTTACAACTCTTCGCGACATATGATCGCGATCTACTTATGGAGTTCCTTAAGTCTTCCACCTTCTATAGTTTTGAAAAGGTTTGTGTGACCTCAATTTGTTCTCGATGCAAACTAACAATTTACTAGGCAACACTTGAATGCGAAAATCACTCATACATCCCAGAGCTCGTGTATCTTTACTCTAAGACTGGTCAAACAAAACGTGCGCTCTATCTCATTATTGATCGTCTAGCAGATGTCTCACAAGCAATATCATTTGCAAAATCTCAAAATGACGCCGACCTTTGGGATGATCTTCTCGAATACTCTATGGATAAACCTAGATTCATTCGCGGATTGTTAGAAGAAGTTGGGACGGCGATTGATCCAATCCGATTAGTTCGCAAAATTCCTGAAGGTCTGGAAATTGAAGGCTTGAGAGAAGGTCTTAGTAGAATGATCAAGGAATATGAAATTCAAGAAAGTATCAGTCAAGGAGTAGCAAGGGTATTAAGAGGTGAAGTTGCAATGGCTCAGAATACCCTTCGAGCAGGTCAACGTCGTGGCGTCAAATTCGATGTCGCCGAACAAGAATTTGAGGTGGATAATGAAACCCAACAACCCCCACAAGACGATTACACAAGCACAAGCCTGCACACTGCATGAGTTGCAAAAGCGCCTTTTATGAAGGCGAAATGGAAACGTTGGTCGGTTTTGCATGCGGTCATGTGTGGCACTTATCACATTTATTGAATTACGGCAAAAGCGAAGATCAGATTCGCCAATCCGCAGATGCAGAAAGACATCCTACTTATGATGGATTTGATGATGGGGAAGATGAGCGCAGATACACGAATGTGCACAGTATTGGGACTAAAGTCACGAGGGCGAGGTTATTAAAGGATAGAATTAGAGGCGGTTGTCCTGTATGTAAAGACAAGGGCGATGGTGCGTATGCTTGATGAGTATTTGCGTGGACTTCAGCGGTATTATATGGAGTGATGAATGCATGGTTTGGAGCGAGGTATAACGGAATACGAAATTCAGAATATAATAATACCTATACTTACGGAATAACTACTCCTTCACACCTTGAGTGATCGTTTTGATCTGCACATTCATGAAAAGTAAAAGTAATTGGTACCCAAATTTAATTCTAGATCCCAAAGCGCCAGCCCCAAATCCGCAAAACTCACTGGTATATCAATACATCACCATACTGAATATAACCCCTCTAAGAATAAATTTTCAAAAGCCCGACGAACCAAAAGCCTTCACGGGCATATCACCAAACACCATACTCAAGTTGCTCTTTCGATGAACCAAATAAATCACTACTGTAACCCATCTTAATTCATGGGACTTCTGCCGTCGCGATACAACCACAATCTGCTCAAGTTCTTGACTTTGTATCCGCTCGTCCCAAAATCACCATTAGTCACTATTATTCCCTCCCCCGGCAAGTTCGTCCCCTTCTTCTTCTTTGGCCCATTCATTTTAGCACTTTTTGCACTCATCTGTGGCGCAATTCCATCGTCGGCGTTCGATTCTCCAACACAGGAAACTTCCCAATCTTCTCTTCCGAGTTTGTCTTCCGGCGCCACGCGACCTCTGCCTTCGACTGAGCTGGTCATAAATACGTCTTCTTCATCTACCCGCTCCCGATCCCAGTCCCTATCTGTAGTCTTCTCGTCGTCTTTGATTCCGGTGCCTTGCAATAGCCTTCGCGAGGCTTTGGAAAGTGGAAACATGGTGTCTAGATAGTGCTGGACGAACATGTGACCGCTCTAAACATTGGATCATTAGTAGATGTGTCAAAATATCTCTATAGTTATACTCACAGTTTCTACTTCAAATAGTCTTCCCATGAAACGTGGGGCGAATGTATCATTACTATAATTTGTGTGGTAGTGAAGAACTCCGAATCGAGAGACAAAATCATATGTGTGTGCATAGTGTTCGATATGTGGAATAGCTTTTCCATTTCCGTTTCGACTAGTTGGAAGTTCTACAGGGTTATTCGAATTTGTGAACAGGGTAGTTACTGTTCTAGTTAGAGAATTTGCTGGTAATGACGGATGGGCCAGGGCATTATTCTGAGATGCTATTTGTAGATGTGGATTATTGAAATGGTTAGCGGCGTTTCCGAAGGTGTAGACTTCAAGCTTTTGGAGAAGATCTTGAGGAATCTCGGCGAGAAGCCAGTCTACAATCATGCTGCCCTCAATGGAGCCTTGCGAGTGTAGAACAAAAATCACGCGTGTAACCTCAGGTTCGTACAGTGTCCCCTTAAGGATGCGGTAGGAGGTACGAACGTCAGTAGTGGCGTAGTTAAGAGTACGCTGAACCAGACATTCGAAGAGGTCGAAGACGAGTCCCTTACTACACTTTGTTAATGAAAAATAATAATACAATATAAGGGGAACTCACGTTCTGTTGTGAATTCCTAGAACCGGGCGGCCGAATGTGAGAGCAAGGCGATCTACGGAACCTTTAAGCCAGTGGTGACTGTCCATCTATTAGTCTACGACGGTAAATGATATACTCGGGATAATTACCCAGTACAAACACCATTCATGTACAACCATCGCTCATGAGCATGTTCCTCCTTTCTTTGGGCATACTCGGGAGCTGATTCACATGTTGTCACCGATGCTGACCCATTCAAAATCAAACAAAGTAAATAATTGAACACCCAAAATACGGTGAACCCCGTGGCTACTACCCACACGGGCATCATAATCCAAATAGGGACAGAAAGGATAAAACATAATTGCAGAAAGAACAGAACAGCATGTAAGGCAAGATCGAATAGGTTTCCTGCAGAAGGGTATAATTCATCCAGAACACCAGAAGGCGTGGGAGTAAGAGGTAGAAAGATACCAGGAACAAATCTGAGATTCACAAACACGACCCATAAATCTTGAAGAAACAATTTGGCAGGAGATGCAGTGTAGGACAAAGGGGTAACGAGGTTGGATCCGATTTGCGACGGATAAAATTTGACGGCCATAATTGGTGAATTTGCTTAGGAAAAGACAGACAGAATAAACATGAAGACGAAGAAGTAGACCGACGCGCAGAAGAAAGTAACGCGAATAATTCCAGAAGTTCACGGAGAGGTATATCAAGGCATTTGTTTTTGTTTCAGTTGATGAAGGAATGTGACGCAAACATTTGATTCCTTTTTTTCAACAGCCAGCCTTATTATGAATCACCCGACCGCGAAACAAGTTGACTCGGTGGCTTGACCCATAACAGAGTTTCCCCTGAGTAGAACTGGGGCAAGGTGGGTATACTTGGGTCAGAAGCTGAGGAACTCGGCACCGTTATTGTAGCCTTGCTCCTCGGCGCTCTACATCATCGATACTTAGACATCGGTGAAGAGGCTTAGCCGGAGGACAGATGACAATTGTTCATCAGCGAAGCCTTTCAAGAACATAACCATTCCTTCCATAGATACATAAAATTATATTTAGAGTGTGTTCCTAGGTGGATATAAGTCGATGTGTAATTCGATGCCATCAAAATTAATTATTTTGTTCGTGATTGATTTTCTAGAGTATTTTAGTTATTGATGTTAAGTGTTAAGATGGTCGAATGCGGTCTGTTTGTTCTCCACCGAATAGGGCTGTCCGACGAGGGTTTGTTGTCTTGTCTTCAGCCGGTTCTCCGGCGTATTTCAACCAATGATAATAATTGGGGAAAGAGATACAATCGACTAATTTGCAGGAGTGACGATACTCCAAGCTCTTGCTTATGTCTAGTTGAGTGTTGAGGCTGAGTGCGACACTTCAACATCACAAGTCAGAGCTTTCGGGAAATCATCGGCTTCGCGTCTGCATCACAACCACATTCATATATAAAGCACGTCGTTACAGTATCAACTAAAATTGGGAGGGGAATTTGGAAGTCGGAAGCATCGAAGCTGAAGTTATAGCCTTCACAAGACGACCCAAGATTCTTTGATACTCGAGCATCTTCCCACCGGTTCCGTCTTGGCGATCGATGCTGTGATTATCGCTATGTATCTTCGGGAAAAAGCTTTCTTTATGCTATGTGTTTCCATCAATTATCATTCAGGCATTGTCTTGTTTCAAGCAAGTAGGTACTCAAGTTAAATATAAGTCCTCCAGAACATCATGGTAAATGGATTCTGTACTCCATTCTTGATCAACAGGCGTCTACAAGAATCACCTTCACAGATCTCACTTATGGTAGAGCCGACATTGGAGATAGCACGAGTGCTCCAGCAGAGTCAAAATCATAAACAGCGGATGCAGAGGGTGCACTATGTTATGAGCTGTAATCTTTTGGACAAGTTTTGGGCGGTGTTTTTGTACACGCATGGTGTAGTTATAGCTAAACTGGGAATTGAGTATGGATAAAATCTGAAGTCTGATGTGTGATAGAGCCGCGCCAGGTAATATGTTTCGCATGTCATTTTTAACCCTCTTTGTGTTTATATAGACAAGCCACAATCATATCTCGAAGGCACTGTATCTCTAGTATCATGATAGTGCTGTTGTGTCAAACTTGACTTGTGGTGCGTGCCTACATGTATGATGGGAAAGTCTCAACAATATAGACAAGACGTCCACACTGTGCAATTACTATAGAAATTACAGAGAGCCAGTGACTTCCATTGCCCATCAACATATTTCTGCTACCACATCAACTGCGCGGATCACATACATAGATATGTTGCGGTGTACAAAAATATTCATCCGTCAACCACCTAAATATCTACCATTTCTGCACACAGGCATCAACTCTACTATATAAACCCACTTAAGGAACTTCTCTCATCCAGATCGCAAAGGCGACAAACAGTCCTGTTTGTTCAGGTCAAATGCGGTCTGGTGGTGGAGTGGTATAGACGCCTGGTTCGAATCGGAAAAAAATCCCGTCGCGGGGTTTCTCCTCCCGTCCCTCTCATGGGACGGCAAGGTTTTGCTAATTAGATAGTTTTGCTGTCTGTTTTTTTGTTCTGGAATTTTTTGAAGGCGCATGGGGGGAGGTAGTAGGTGGCTATATCAAGAGTTCTGTTTTGAGGGGCGAGATGCGGCAGTGAATAGAGGAAAACTCGCGTCGGCAAAGCGGCGAGATGTACCTAGTCTTGAGCATTATTCCTACCTGAAAATCGATGCTGGAAATGCGACAGCTCAGTCCAGAAAATCATATTTGGGTCATGGCTTTTTGCTTCTATTGTCAAGTATCTCCTAACTCCGATTGCCGCGTTGTCTGATTGCCTACATGTTTAGAAACACCTTTTCACGCTGTGTGATCCATAATGACCGACGGCTGCCGTTTTTTGATGACAAGACAAACAGTCACAGTTCACATGGATATCCCACTCGCATCTCCGATGACTGTTCCGGCCAAAATCGCTATCAAGACTGCCTGGTATGTATTGTTGACTAACAATACTGTATTTCCGAAGCTCTTCACCAATTAAGAATCAGTATTTCTGCAGCGACATGAACGACAGCATCATGTGGTCGAATTTTTGTTGTAAGCAATATGATTCAAGGGCGCCTGACAAGCTGCAGATAAGCGGCATTTAAAGACCGTGTTGCCGGAACCCAATCGTCCTTTACCTATCTAGGTACACGGTATTGCGTTGTTTTGATTCATGGCGGGAAGAAGTACTGACGTCAGGGAATTCAACTCTGCGTTACCTTAACAAGGACATCAACTGGGTATCTTGAAGTGGAAATTCAAGCATACTATGAAGAGCTTGAAATCCTGAAACAGATTTCTGAGTAGGAAACCCCCAAACCCAAGAACTTGAGAGGTGGCTGATGTGCATGCAGATTTATCGATCATTGGCGAATCAAAAAATCTAGCATGATGTTGGTTTCCTTAATAGTGCATGTTTGCGAGCTTGCCTTGTCGCAAAGTATGAGTATATGCCGATGGCGCAGGAGCTCCAAGAAACACTGCTTCCCGTTGTATCAAGAGATGTCCAGGAATAACCGGACTTCCGATGCCTGGATAACTGCTTACATGAGGCCACAGCATGTATTTGTCCGGTCGTCAAAGCATCATTCTTGAAATACAGGAGAAGGATGCGAAGTCAATAGATCATACTTCCTGTTCGGCGTCTGGCAAGATGCTGATACATACGCATAAGCAAAAGGGCGGGAAATATTAAGCCACCCTCAGATGGTGGCCACGTTTTAATGCAAAGAAAATCCACAACGCACAACTTTTCCAGCCATCAATGCATCTTCGATGTGTGGCCGATCTTTTGCCGCTTGGGTCACGTCGTCAAATCTTTGAGATCCTGTCAATCATAATTTGTGATGCCTAGACGGATGAATATACAGTAGTATATTTTATGTCAAAATGAACATGTCAGAAAACTTTTCGACAGTTGAAGAAGTTGTTGTCCGTCCCCACATTTTGGTTTCTATTAGCCAAACCGGACACAGGCACCGATTTGTTGTGTTATCGATGGTCTCGGGGAAATGTTGGGGAAGTTATTGTACGAGATAAACGGTGTGCGTTGGAGGGCCATTAAGATTACTTGGACCGGGTCGTGGTAGTTGCACTCCTTAGATAGTTTGGATGCCCGAGCTCCAACGTTGCTCCGGAAGTCAGGGATGGAAGCTTAAAAGTTGACAACAAGTTCAAGTTCGAAGTGCAATTTGGGAAAACCATCAAGAAATTATCAATTCGAGGGATAGGGGAGAATTATATGTTTGCCGAGCCTTCCGAATAGGATCTAAACGCGGGAGGAACTACAACTCAAAAAACAAAAGTTGAACGATTACGAAGTACATGTATAATCCTATGGGTTGACGAGGGAAAAGATCGGCTTGAGGCTCAGTTACTTCGAAGCGCCCGAATGGGGCCGATGGCGTATTACCCCTGATTACCCTAAGCCCTTCACGGATGGTACCTTTCTGTACCTTGTATATCAGATGAAATTTCGGGAAATTGTTACTACCGAGGCAAAGGAATACAACAAGTGAGAAAGGCACACTCCGTATGTGTTTTGTATTGAGTTGGCATACCAAAGAATGGGTACTTGCTATCTACTGCACGGCAATCCCTTTTCAGCAGAATAATTTCAATCCCCCTGAGAGCAATTTCAAAGAAAGTAATGTAATATCTATTATGCAAGTGTTGTTCGTGTTAGGACGTATCAGATGATTCAGACCAGATCATCCATATCAGAGTTATCAACCATCGTCTAATCAATCAATTCGGTTATCGTATATCCACTCGGAAGAAGCGAATGTGACAAAACACAGTATCGTACAGTAGCTAATTAGCTGTTAGACGTCAAAACTCAATAATATTCTCATATCATCAAATTTCAACTCATCCCACTCTTCATCTAAAGGGTTCTCATTCTCACCTCCACTGATTCCACTTAATCAATAGGGTTTTGTTTTTTTATTTCGCTGATCCGGTCTGGTGGAATCATTCTGCATCGGCTGGCTGTCATTTGACGCAGGGGATAATGTAGTTACCCTACTCTGAAATCCAGCCAAACATTCTGGCTCTTTTCTATGCACAGGCTGTCAGCTCTATGGAACCCACGAGCAAAATTGCCGGAAAGTAGGACATGGTAGGCCAGGTACGGAAGCCCAGTACGAAGATGCAGGGGGTATGGCGGAGGTGTCACCTCAATCTCTCAATCTCTCCCACACCATTTCCTATCTCATATATTGACATACACAAACCTTGCCGATTTCTGAAGGATGTCCGCACTCAGAATGTCAGGGTTCACAAGTCCAACAAATGGAAAATGGAAACGAAGTCAACACACCATGGATTTCTGGTATTACCTGCATCGTAGTGCATATTTGCCTGTGATAATGGATAAAATGCCGATCACAAATTCATTTTATCCCAAACAATCTAGAAACATCTACTAGAAAAGATTATGCAGGAAGCTGGGCGAGCAAGCAGGACAACAAGCAGATCTTGGAAGCGCTTTCGTAAGGACTTTTTCAAGGTTCTATTCCTCTGGAAAAGATTTCTCGTTGGTCTATTTTGCACAGTGGGGATATAGGTATGAGCTATTACCTAGGTATGTGAGATTTTACGATATGAGTTCATCATGCTTCACTTAATGCCTGAATAAAAATGCTTACCTTTGCGTGTTCTGTTCATTTGCTGGCTTTGTTGGCGTGGTCTCGTTCGCTCTCCACGTTACAGGGAGCAGATATCACTATAACCAATAACCAATAGGGGGGTCAGCATGAAAGCTCACGCTGTGCCGTTTCAGTGTGGACATATGCACTTTGGAAATTTAACCGTAGTTCTTTTCTGTGCGACATTACAATTTACCTTACCTCACTTACCTTGCCATTCATCTACTGCAATATTATCTATCGATCGCTCTTAACCGTTTCGTATACAACATCATACATTTCTTGTGTTCGCAACTTCATGCCGATCCAATTGTTTTCGATCAGAAATCTGAGCTGCAAGCAAATATCCATCCATCCATAGAATTCAACATCAAGACGGTCTACATATATGTAATAATGTCTGTGAGACGGACAAGATCGGTATCTAAGTGGAAAGAAGTCCTGGGCTTCGACGAGGGGTTCTACCCCACATCCGAAACTCCTCCTCCATATCATCGCTATGAATCCCCCGAATCCATCTATGAATCAGTAGGGTCTATCAGTCCTACTGTATCCTACTATCATGAGACGCTCGAAGAACTCACACCCAAATTTCACTATCACGACGCACCAGAAGTCGTAAATCACAGTTACAATGATGCGCCCGAGGTGATAGACACTCCTCTCGATTATACCTATTCAGATGCTCCGGAAGCAGTGATAGAACCTTCAGATGCCTTGAAGGCAGTTATAAAATCCTCAGATGCTCCGGAAGCAGTTATTCGATCCCCCACTTCATCTAATTTTTCACAAACCCCCATATCAGCGATAACGTCGAGATTTAACACCACTACTCATTCGACGCATGCACCGAGCAATACTGCATCTCATACCCCTATCAATCCTTCTAGTTCCGGAATCAGATTTCCACGAGATTTAACTTTTACGAGGAATTCAATATATGATATTCTTCTCTCGCCATCGTCAGCACAGCCAGTGAGCAATGGCCATAAACCTGCCTCTTCACCACCACCACTCTTCTACATAACGATCCATCAATCTACACCACAGAGTGTCCCCGCCCTACCACCTCCCAGTAATCCCAATAAACCGGATATAGCGCTCCATTCCACCGCCTCACCCAATTCACCCCTCCTCGCTTTTGCAAGCTTTAACACCGTCACCCTTATAACAGATATAACCACCCTCCCACCGCCCACGCGCCCGCTCTCCCCCTCACACCCCCCTCATCCTCCTCTCACCCCTCAAAATCCATCGTTCCACCCCCAACAACCTACAACCTTCCTACCTCCCCCAACGACTCCCTCACATTCGGCGTCCGATCCCAAGGTTACAAGACCGAAAAACTAGTTCCTACGGGTGGAATCTTTACCGCCGAACGTTACGCCTTCTATCACACGCTTCCCCGTACTTTTGTAAAAGAGAAATTCGAATGGCGCCAAGTATCCTCATCTTCCTCCGCTCCACATGTCGGGCTTGCTTCCGTGCCCGAGGAAATGACTAGTAAGAAAGGCGGGGTAAAGATGAAGTTGATGCGCTGTTCTACTGGCGAGACGATAGCTGTGTATGTCGGGGTTGGGAATGAAGATTGGGCTGACAAGGAACGAAAAAGAAGGCCGAGAAAAGAGAGGGGAAAGGTGTTAGGGATGATGAGGTGGTTGGAGCTGGAGAGTGGGAGTGCCGGGCTGGGAGATGAGTTTGAGTTGATGGGGGTGATGAGTGTATTGGGGGTGATGGAAAGATGGAGGAGGGTGATGAATGTGCAGAAACAGTTGGGGATGTTTACTTCGTGAGATCAGGAGGTGGAAACACAATATATCATGATAAATGAAGATCGATGAAGACGAAGAGGAGAATTTGCAGATGCAAATGCAGATGCAGCAAAAATTGTACATGAGATTGCAGAACAGTTAAGACCTTCCGTGGTGGATTTGGCATGTATTTAGCAGGTTATTTTACATTCTGATGTATGTTATGTATGTTATATACTTAGTACGTTGTATATGTTATAGTGTTTTATGAAACATTCAAAGAAGAAAGAGGGATGAGCAATAAATGAAGAGACTTTTCCAAACTACAAATTTCAAATCAGATCAACATCATCGAGAAAGAATCCTTAGCTCTATCTCTGCCCCTCTGCCAAATACTCTCAATCTCTTCCGCTCATCCACCGACACCCAAGCAATCCCCAATCCCCAAGCTCCAAGCTCCAAGCTCCAAGCTCCAAGCTCTCCTTATCTACCAATCCAACATCAACCAACACCACCCCAAGCTCATAGCTCCTCCACTTTTCCACCTACTTCCCCACCTGACCAATATTATCCATCCAACCCTTACCATTTCCAAGCCATCAGACCTCCTTCATCTATGAATCATCCTATCCTGCATACCCGCATACCTCATTTTCCATACACCACTTCCCAGTGTGCCAAAACTATCCTTGGTCCATCCCTGTGTTCATCTCATTATATCCAATACTCAATATGATCCATATGCCGAACTCCGGGCTCGGCGATGCCTTTCTACTTACTAAGAGAACACTTACTGAGGAAACAAGGATTTGATACTCAAGAATTTGTGAAAAGGTTATCAAATTCGGTGAGTGAATGGACTGACGGGACACTTCTGGACTTTCAAAATCTCTGACAAATTCATTATCTGAATCATTTGTTTCGTTATTTAATCTTCAATGAGTCATAATAACAGTGTTCAAGATATTTGAACGGATATTTCAAGAGACATTGCCAAGCCGATTTTGCAGTGTCCCGTCAGTCCATACACTCACTGGTAATCTATCTACTTCTATATCGTACACCAAAAAAGCCCAATTCCTGAACCTCTTGATTCCAAGAAGTTACTAATGTACATTCAATTAGATTTAAATAATGGATTATCTTAGTAGAAATCTCGAAGTAATGTCTTTTCATCTTTTACATCATTTCCATCACTCACTAAAGAGCTCCCACCAGATTCTAACGATGGGCCCCCTTCAACGTAAGTCCTAGCATCCTGATCAGTTGGCCATGCCCAGCCCTCGGCGCCTTCCACCAATATGCGTGCTTCTTCTTCATAGGATGTCTCATTGCAAAAAACCTTTGCAGCTATTAGAGTTCTTTTCAAAAGCTCGTGACCGTTGCGGCTCCACTTAGCCTCAGTAATTAAACGGTCGCGATGAAGCACCATCCACTCTACTACAGCTTTGATGCCCTCGAAATCCTCTGCTAGTCCTAGAACACGGACGTAGGCATGTAAAACAGCGCCGTGTAATTTGCTATGTAAATCGTGAGCAAGGGTCGGAAGTCCAATATCGAAACTTGTCGAAGATAACTTTGCGAATTCATCTTTCACAAGTAGAATATCGTCCGCGAACGATGACTTTTGGTCCATTCGGGATGATGCAACCATTGCCTTTTCCAACCCTCGACAAATGAACTGAAAGCCGTTCGGCTCAAGCTCAAGCCCCGCGTCATGGAAGTCCTGTAGTACAGCAGCAGAGATTCTCCAGGAATTGATATCATCTTGCGGGTCACCAATTATATTAGGATCAATTGTAATGCCAGGTCTAGCAAGTGCATTGAAGACCGCATACCATGTAGGCTTATATCTTGTCTGGCTGGTTCGTATGAGCTCCAGTGCGTGAGACAGCGGATTAATACCAGACTTTCTAGATCTAGGCAGCGTCCGTGGCATTGTCTCATTTGCGTTGATATCGTTGATGGCATCTGCGAAATTTTCATGAAGCCTTTTCAGATCTTTGGACATTGATGTTTCGGAGTATGAAGAAGCTTGTGGGATAAGTTTATCCGTACACCTGCAAAGTAAGGTGACGAATGCATGAATGATGCGAATTTCCACAGATGTCATTTTTGCTGGTGGATCGGCGTCTTGGCCAACGATATACTTCAAGAAAGTACGTCGCTGTCCACTTTCACGAAGATACTTTATACCATCAGGTATTCCCCTAGCATGACTAATAAGGAAATTTAGACAGTCGCTTTGTGGCCGTACTCCAGCTGACATCATAGTTTCATACAAGAAATCAATGGATGATGGCGGTCGAAGCTCCTCTTTATAAAAATCGCTGAAGTTGTCGACGGACGGTGGAAGAACTTCTTTCCCCTCGCCAGGCGTAACATCTATTATTCGAGAACGACCGGCTCTCCTATTTTCGGCTTCAACTTTCTCCATCATAGCATGATAAATGGAAGAGGTGGGTGTGCCACCTAGACGTTGGAAACTCTTGAATGCGCTCCAGGCTTCCTGTACATCACGCGTTGCTGTGATCCTTGAACTCCAAACCCGGTGGTGCAGAGGACTCGACCTTACCAAAGAGCGCAACTTTCTAATACGGCCTTTAGACAAAGACCTGGTATGGATTGTTGGTGTCCCATCATCTTCTTGTCCCCCAAGAATACCATGAGCATGAGTGCTAATATTCGAACTGTACCCAGCTTGCTTCATTTGCCTTATTGCAGAAACAACCCTACTCAGATCTTCATCTGGCGATCTTCGGGCATCCATACCATCTTGGTCAATTCTCCAGGGAGGCCAACTTCTCGCCTGGAGCTTTGCCAATCTTGATTCATCGTCGGTCTTTTGCAATGCAAGTAGTACAACTTGTACAGCATGGTAACCGCCCCTGTCAATGATTAAGGGCGGTTTAGTCTGATTTGCTAAACGCAATAGGACTCTTTGCGCATGCCAATT